GGTGACAATCATGCATTTTTGGTGGTAATTTACATTACGGTTCGGATGGTTTTTTAAATTTTCTACAAGTTCATCTGAAATCTATTCTCCAATCGGACATTAGCTTTTATATTTAATTTGCTAGATCAAAAGCCTACAGTATTTTAATAGCTATGTTAAGTACATATTTTTAACAAGAACTAACCAATAACCTCGAAAAATATATATTTCTCAAAATTTCACAATTTCTTCACAAAAATAAACTTGATCAACTTCAACACTTGTTTTTTCGCTTTTTATAAAATTTATAAGCGTACAACTTAATCAGGCCGTGTCAAATATCAACTGTCGATTTTGGAAAATTTATTTGGATTGACATTTTTTCCTTTTTTGTTACGTGCCATGATCGACTATATCTATAGAACATTGACATGTAGAAAAAAGGCGAGAAATATTTTAAGGCGGGAAAACATCAGTAAAATAGTTAATATAATCTGTGATCTATGATTAAACAGATAATGATAACGATAAGGTCTCGAACTCCTTAATATAAATAATTTACGGTTTCCGATTCAAAAATAACAAATATTCATTATTAATGTGAAACCAAAATTAAAAACCTTAAAACACATGTTACGTGTTTGTCTCGCTCCGAAATTACAAGGAAAATTAATTTCGAGCAAACAACGAAATCTTGCACACTGAACATATTGAAACAATGTGACCGTAAATTGGGAAAAGTAACGACATTGGCATAATTACCAGATGTCGTAATACAATAGTGATCTAAGCAACAAATTTAAACTATTGTTAAATGAGAAATTACAACATCTGCAGTACCTACTTTCGAATTCTTTTGTAGTGTTGATAGATGGTTTGTGTGCTTAACGTTTAAAATCTGCATCAAGAAGTATAACAGAAAAGAATTACGAAAAAACACAATTAATACGATAAAAGTTTTCACGGAAAGTATCGTTTTTTAATTGCCTCCAATCTATTGAGTTGTGGGTCCGAGTTCTTGAGTACTTAATAAAACTAGTGTGTTATTAAAAATTGATAAGCCTTTGAACATTGTTTATTATTACTGAAATGAGGTACTTAAAGCGTTTATTTTTTTTATGATAAATGAGGACATGGGGATCACCTAATCGGAAATGAAAAATTCCAGCCCTAACATATAATTCAAATGTGCTGTCGACCGATTTTAAGTTTAGATATTCGAAAATCCACAGACTAAAATTAAACCGCGATTAAACTTTTGTTTTTCAAAAGTTTTTCATCTGTGGACAGTGGTTCGTGTCCCGGACGGAATTTTGATATTCCCACCGCCCATTTTATAGCCAATTTCTAGACGAATCCTAGAGCTTGAAAATAGCTTGACTAGAAACATGTTCGATGTGGTGACGTCGATTGCCACCACGTCCACGATCCGTGGCTGTACAATATCAAAGTTTTTGGTATAATATTTGATTACCGTTAGGCTAATGAAACTGTACATTTTTAAACTTTAGCTTTAATCATTATCTTTCTCAGGTAAATTAAACTATTTGTTTTTTCATTTGTTTTTCAAAAATTGCTCCAGTGTTTAAGATGCCTACGACATAAATGGAACTTATAGTTTCCACAAAAGTCGAATCAAAATAACCCTTGACACCACAATCGTAGTGGAATCGAAGCGTCTAAAAGCGGTCATTCTTCTCCAAACGATAAAGTAACCTTCGGAGGAAATAGACTGAGTATTGTGACTTATCCAGTAAATTATAGATAGAGAGTTAATACGCTCGACTACATTGTAAAATATTTATAAAGTTATAACGAGACGTGGCCATGTACGGCTAATAATCAACAGGCTATATATATCAATTTTATGAAACATGTATAACTTTGTCTTGCAATATGGACACTAAATGGGTGGAAAGAAAGAAGATCCCGTCCGGGTCACGAACCACCGTCCACAAAGAAGGCATCAAGTTTAATTGCATTGTGTTTCAGTCAGTGGATTTCCGAATATCCAAAGCCAAAATGGGTCAGCGCATCTTGTTTAAGTGTATATAGCTGGGGTTATCCTACTATCAAGTGATCTTCATGCTAGTCTGTAGTGCTCTATAAAAAAACGGGAGTACTATACATTTTAAATTACTCCAAACGAGTTGCGTCAACGTCATTAATGTCATGTTGCTTATCAGTTATGTATTAATTTGGAGTCGATATCTGTAAAATCTGGCCATTATATAGTGGCAGGAACATTCCGTCTGGGTTACGCACAATTTTCCTCAGATAAAAAGTTTTGGATTCAATCTGTGGTTTTGTTAAGACTGTAATCTTAATTTCTTGGTCACATTATTTAAATAATCTTTATTTTGTTTTCCTTATTGCTTACTTAATTATATACAGTTTAATTTCTGTGTGTTTGCCAAAAAATGTTAAATGCAATTGTCATGCACTATGAAAGTATAAATGTAATTTAAGACCAATACATAAATAAAAATATATGCTTGAAATGTTTCGCCGCTCATCAAGGAGACCAGACTTTAAATAAAACACTTTTAACGATTGAAAACGCAAAATATATATGTGTGTGTGCAATCCCGTTTCCCCTTTGTGGGGCATGGGGCGAACACATTTCTGTGTCCGTTTCACTGATCCGTTTTTTTTAACAGGCAAGTAGTTGATCAGACTTCTGTGTCCTCGTAACAAAATATATACGTAACTTTTTTATTTGGTCGGCACCACGACGTTTAAGACGCTTTGCAGCAGCCGTGGTCACGGCGAGTTCCACTATTAAATGTGTACTAATCTTGTAAACTACAGACAAAACTTAGGAAACCATTTTTCGAGTCAATAATTCTTTTTCACATTTCAGATCAGTCCTAAGATTGGACTGCAACTCTCTGTACCAGATTACTTAGCCCAGACAATTGTAGAAGTATAATAATTATATCAATTCGGGAAGTCAATATGAATGCATCTTTAGGATGCTTTGTCAAAACAATCTTCAATATTAAAATCACGTTCCGAACTCAAGAACTCATCAAAATCTATTAGAAAGCGTCTATTCATATTATAACCCGACTGTGTTGAGGAGATCGGGTTCTTGGGGTGTTTGAATTAGTTTTAATAGCTTTTTAAAATAGTTGCATTGTTGTGTTGACCGCGGCTCATTGCGCCCAATTAAAGAGGGACAACGCATCAATTGACTTTATTATTCGTGATGTAAGTTAAGCGATTGTGGAATTTTTTATATATGTATTTAGCTATTAAAACGTATATCGAATTAATACCAAATAAAATGAAAAAAGGTAATGATTTTTAACTTCGGCCCGACGGATTTCGGATGCTTTGCAGCAGCCGTGGTCACGGAGAGAGGTGAAAAAAGGTATTTAAATAAAACACTTGAACGATTTAAAACGCGATGTACATTAGTAAAACTTACTCATGTAAATTATTTCAACTAATATATATCGTATTTTAAACCGTTAAAGTTTTTATTTAAATATGTACCTACTACTCGCGTATAATAAAAAAATATTTAATTATAATGAGTTCTAGGATAGTTAAAGAATCAGCTTAGTGTTGGAAACGAATAATTTATAATATTTCTATTTTTTTTTATAATCATGCTCATATTTATTTTATATTAATTGTAAAGACCCAAACATTAACATTAGGTTAATAAAACATTTAATGGCGCAATGTGGAAGTCTAATAATGTGCGCATCCGCACAATAAAATGTTCGGGATAAAAACACGATATCTTTTCTCAGAATTCGATAGTTAAGCACTCTCTCGTTTCTAACTTACTAGAATGCTTACGCACATAATTTGAATAAACATAGGACGTACGTTCTTTTCCTTCTAATATGTAGTCAAAGTTTACACGCAAGTGATAACATTGAAATTACATTTCGGGAGTGGTGCATGTATCATAGGGTTGAAAAATTCGACGATGACGTGCAGGACATGGTAGCTCAATTGGTTAAAGCAACAGCACGGAACGTGTGCCAGTTTAAGTTCTGCCCGTGTCGTAAATTTTTTCAATCTAAAACGATTTTAATAAGGGTCTTTTGATTTCGATACCTTAACATACTGTGAATCGCCTAAAACGAACAAATCCCTGCGATATAAAATCTGGTGTAAGTACCCCAAGTATAATTCCGGAATGGATCTAATAAAGTTACTTTGTACTTACGAGGTAATAACTAATTACTATAAGACTTATGAATGACAGGAAATGATATGCAGTGAAAAGATTTCCGAATCGTGCGCATCGTCTCGTAGTAGGGGGCCCTGAACGAAAATATTGCTCCAAGGAGTCCCTGTCGACCATCGGGTGCGCCCACATGTTAACTAGTGATGTCAGTAATTATCGATAATCTCATCGGTTGAAAATACTGAAACTTTGATATAAACTGTCATCTATTATTTCTGTGTCCGCAAGCGAATTAATAGATGCGTGTATTCTTTTATACGTTTGTTTTCGATAATTATATAGGAACATGGCTCAATTGTATATTATCATATAGTACTCACAAATCAAGTGTAATTATGTATTTAATAACGAATATATATTGACATAACATAAATGCGGTTATTCATATTCACGACATTATACGAAACAAATAAGAAAAATAACTACATTTAAAAAAAACAATGGAAAATATTCCATATTGAATCTAGTTCATCATATTCCTTCACCTAATTAAGGAATTAGGTTAAGGAACTGAATTATTTATATAATACATACAAATATAAAAAATAAAATGAATATTAACTTAAACAACTCTTGTTAAACCACAAATCTCAAATACCGCACGCCCGCCAATCAACAGCGCTTTCTATTAATGAATCGACAAATATTTATAACCGTAACGTCCCTATTCCCATCTCCCATCTCAAGGCGCGGCTAGTCGCACAGAGGACCGGCGCCCGCGCATACGCGATCCAAAAATACACTCGGCCCGGCCAAGTAGTGAATTTCGAAGTGTTGCGATTTATGGATATTCTGCGATATCGATGAAGCGATGTCACCCACCGCCATGGGCGGGGACTTACCTCAATGGTGTGGCAAGACAGAGGGGTGCCCACAGGCGCTGCTCGGCTGGCTCTATCTGACTCATGATCAGAACGATCAGGTATTGTTTTCGCTTTAAATACGAATCTTTAGATGGTAAAATTGCGTTTGAGAATTTCCAAATCCAAAATAGGCCGGCAGCGCATCTTAAATGTTATGCGGCTGAAGTAATTCACCTTCCTAAAAGAAAGTATATATATATATAGGTAAATCGGTACTGACGTACACATACATTTCTTCAAATATAAACATTAAACAGTTTTAATATTTAAATTAAGAACACAGTGTCTAATAAAAATTCTGCGGCTGTTTTAGTAGATACTAACGGTATCTCTAAAGTTCTTTGATATAAAACACATCTAATGGTTTAAAACGCGAAACGTATTAGTTAACTAATTATTTCCTCTCGCAAAGCATCCGCAACGTAAGGCCGTAGTTAAAATAAATAAAAAATAAGGTTTGAAAACATTAATATTTTTCACATGTTATTACACATGAAGGCACTATATAATTTAAAAATCGAAAAAAAAATTCGACTCCGGCAGGACTTGAACCGGCATTGTCACCGTGCTGTTGCTCTGCAGAGCAAAATAAGGTTACTAACACAGGTCACATAATGTTTTATTTGAATGTTACTCTTAAACTACAGACATCTTTCTTATAATCCCTGTATCCTGTTAGGATATCAATATGCCAAGCAAAGCTAACCTTACAAGACATAATATGCGGTTATACCTTTTCAAGTTTCATGAATTTAAAACTTTTACAAGCACAGCTTTTTTAGTACATCAATCGTGCTCTGGTAAAGAGAATCTTTGTGATAAATAAGAGTAAAAAGTTTATATACCCATTATAAATGGGAAATTAAGCGATTACCAAACGATTAAAAGATTTTTTTAATTCCATTTGTAATTTCTAAAAGAAGCACGACATAGCTATGTCCAACAAATAACCGCTTCACTGAAGCTAATTTTGCTTAAGCTTTAAATTATAATCAAAATCGAATAAATGCATTTTAACATGGAGTTAGCCGCGTTTCTGTTTCAGTCTGTGGATTTCCGAATATCGAAAGCCAAAAAGTCGACAGCCCAGCTTTTTGAGATGTTAAGTAGCTGGGGGCTATTTCACCTTCTGCTTGTCTCCGTCAATTAAAAATAAATAATGTGGCCGAATTTTTTTTTTTTTATACATTTCGGAAGTGAATCCATTTACATCATGTAACTATGTATTGAATTCTATTATACGCTGAATTGATAGGAAAGTATGTAAATAACGCAAAATATAATATTGACGGTCTGGCTTAGTCCTCTACAAAAATGTGTAAAAGAAATATCTTTTTCACTTGTTTAATTATTATAAGAAAAGAGATCAAAATGAAATGTTATGTATTTAAATAATAAATATGGGACTATTTAAATAAAGCACTTTAACGGTTTAAAATGCGATATATTAGTTAAACTTATTAAATAAAAATCAGTTTTACTAATATATCGCGTTAAACCGTTATAGTTTTTTATTTAAATGTTACTACTCGCGTAAACTATAGACATTGTTTAATATGGGATTATTCAAAGTATTCCTTAATTTAATTAAGTAAATCCTAGTCAAACTTCAAGCCTAGTTTTGTTCATTGCGTCTAAAAGCCAATAGCTCGCTAAACACTGTTTAAACAGCGTTTAAATCTACGTTGTGTAGCCGTTTAATATTTTTATGTTGCATGTCGCCCGCGCAAGATTAATTTTAATTCCGTTCAATTGGGTCAAGCTACTCCCATATTAATTGTTTTGTTACTGAGCTAAATGCCACGCATTCATACAGCTGATAGAGAAACAGGATCTAATGTAAAATACATATAACGTATAATAAGTCACCGTTAAATTATATAGCTATCAAACGGTGAAACGGTCTTCGTTGAAAAGAAATTAGATTTCTGTGTAGATAAAGAAATCTCTAATATTTTGATAAATTTGTGCGTATTTTGTGGTGACTCTATTTTTGACCCGAATATACCCAATACGATTGTGCATAGTAATAGTTAAGTGTAACTCTTATACGTACAACTCCATTGTTTTAAAGTAGCTGGCCTGGCAAAGGTTTTTTTTGCCATCTGAAATATTTCGACGAAATGTATTTCCCTTTTTATGGTCTAGTGAGGTAATCTTAAAGAAAGACAAATACTGCCCCGGATAGTTCCTTAGATTATTAAAAAAAAACTTTTAAACAAAGACTTTGGTTATTTGGACCGTTTTGGCAGCGCTTGCGTGCGAAATCTCTAAAATAAAAATCATTTGCTCGGTTTCTTCCACATTTCCCTCAATCAATGGTCCATCCAACAAGGAAATATTTTTATCACTGAAATTATCGCGTTCAAATAAACTCTTCAGTTTTATAATTTAGTATAAGATAGTTTGAATTGTTCTTGAATTGGACATTTAAGGGTTTCCGAGCCCATATGGGTCAATTACCTCCCGGCCACAGCAGAACATGTGTTTGTGTACTAACAAAACAAGGAATCCACATGTTACTAAGATGTAGGTGGTTTAAATTTAGACAAAACGCGTCAGGTAGGCACGCTTACGTAGAACCAAGAATCCTACCGTACAAGTCATTTATTCATTGAACTAGCAGCGTGTGTTGTTTTCGATATTTTTAAAGTATGAGTTAATTCTTATAAACTCCTTATAGAACTGTAAATTGATTTATACTGTTACTCCTCTGTGTCAGTATGAATTATGGCCTTTAGAGCATTGAATTAAACACGAGAGATCCCGGACTTAAATCCCGGGAAAACAATTGTTTTGATTGGTCAAGGCACACTGTGACACAAAGTGAACCACTACTTGCTCTTAAATAACATCGATCAGAGAAACTCACACACAGAGCTGCATTTAACTACTTGTTTTACAACTTATGTAATTAATCGTCCGCAAATTAATAAAAGTAAAAACACAAATACTACTCTTGTTTGACATCTCTTCTTAATAATACGAATCCAAAGGTCGAAACGGGATTGTTCCTACACACAACATATTTCAACATTTTACACACGTAAGTACCCACACACATGTATATATTGAAAATAGTCACGATTGGATTCCTTAAAGGAATATGAATTAGATTAAGAAAACAGAAGTAAACGGCCCCGAGATTCGATTGGACTGAGCGTCGCCCGCGCATATGTTAAACGAATTAACGATACGTTCCAATTTTAAACGCGTTGACGTTCCGCTGTTCGTCGTTTAAAATATTTGGCAATATCCGTAGAAGTTGTTTGATGTTTTAAATCATTATTTATTTGGTCGTAATTTTAATCAAACCATTAACAAATTAACAAGATTTTTATTGAAGAGATTCCAGGAGGTTAAAGTGACGTAAGTAGTTCTAAGTTCGCATCTCAGTGATAAACTAAATTGTATCTAAAGCTTTGGCTTTTATAGCGTTTGATAACTGGAATATTGCTGAAACGGGAGAAAGTTATTGTTTGTTCATGTAACTTTAGTTTTTTGTAATTTAGCTATGAAAGCTTGTAACCTTTGGGTTTTCGACCCGCGGATTGCAATGGATCGAACGGATTAAGTAAACCCGATTTTGTGAATAAATTGATTCGGTTCTATGAGATCAATAGAACGCGTTCTTTACAGTGTTAAATAAAATCAGTTTAAGAAACTAGAAACCCGAATGGTCGAGCATTCGGTGTAAGATATCACAGGTGACGCTGATCAAAGGCGGAGGATGTTGACATCTCGCCTCGTAACACGAGACCGAATAAGCGTTTTACTACGCATTTTAATGTATAAGGGTTCATTCACACTATATTAGGAACTTCAGATAATTGGTGCAAAGTTTTTGAAAGATGGTCAGGTTGACAAAAAGAACTAAGAATGGGTTAGCGTATATTTGTGTGTAAATTAGTATTGTTAAATTTATTTTATGCGAAAAAGTTATACGAGCGTCTTTTATTTAAATTCGAAACGATATTAAATGGTAAACAAGAATTGTAGTCGTGGGTTCGACCCCAGTTTTTAAAAAGAGATTATAAAAAAGTATATTTCATGCACTAGCATTCTAAAGCCGTATTGTTTGCTTCTGTAAGCGAAATACGTCATAAAGTAACGGATCGTTTGCTTTATTGGCTCGCTCCCCCAACCCAACAAACAAACTTTTCTTATAATTAGTAAAGATCTGATAAAACACACTTTTTAATAGTTACATTAACGGTTTAAAATTCTATACATATTAGTTAAACTTATTTTAAAATCATTCGAAACTTCGGACCGTAGTAAAAAATAATTTTCAAATATGTTTAACTAATATATATCGGGTTTTAAACCGTTAAAGTGTTTTATTTAAACTACAGACAGTATTTATAACTTTCGTACGATTCGATTTCAGTGGGTGCCCGGTTCAGTATGGGGTCCACTCCCCACAGCAGCGACGGGTGCCAACCAGGCGCCGACAGACGACAGCGGGTCCCTCGCAGAGCAATTAGCGGCCCTGTCTCTGCGCCGGCCGCCGCGTCCTCCGCCCCCAGCGTACATGTGCCACTTGTGCTTCAAGAAAGGACACTACATTGGCGATTGTCCACAGGTAACGCAAAGCTATCTTGGACAGAATTTTTGGAACTTGTTTTTCTCCTAAACTGTCTTTTTACCTTACCGCCAAAACATCATGATTTTGACGCCAAATGAAACTTAAGAGACAATGATATTGTTGTTAATTGATTATTATATCTACATAACAAAATATTCATAGTATCAACTTTATCTGTGGGTTTATGAGTACAAATATATACTCTGTGTTATGTCATGTCAATGAATACAAGTTAGTCTGTTTTAAGCCGCCAACCTAGTTTTATCAAACGAAAAGAAATTTAAAACAACATTATTTTCAGTATTTGTTATAATGGTTGTCGATCTCCATTTCAGGCAAAAAATTGACGAAGCGAACCCTTGAACAGGATTTATAGCTAACTAAGCTAGTAATTTATGGTTTTCTTGCAAGCTTACCAGAACAGAAATTAACTCGAAACACAGTTTGATCAAATTGTTAAACAATTAATCACCAAATTTTAGTACGTGTATTTCCGTGCTTCTAATAGAGAGCGGGCGAACTGCCAAAAAGATTTTATTTTTGAATATTTTCCTATTCAGAGGAATTCGTAGAAAATGTCAAGATCATTTTCACAATCAATATCATTGTATCAATTCTATAAGCAATGAACATTGTTGACAACAATCTGCGTTACCTACTAGTTCTTGGGGCTTTTCAGACATCGAACCCCAGAATAGTAAAGTCCCATTTAGCCACGTCTCACAATTTTTTTGACGATTTTAACGTCTGCGTAAATAAATCATAGTTAATTCATATGCTTTAATTTTAGGCACCTACAAATTTAAACAAACTCTTATTTCCACGTAAGCTTTTAACTAAACAATGTCACCACTTGTAAAGGTTCGGGTATCAATTCTCAAAACTATAGAAAAATTAATTTCTTACAAATGTTAAGTGTTAAACTAATTTATGAAGGTTGACGGCCGTTCTCGTTCTGTGGCAAACCTAAAATAACAAAAGCTCTTTCTGTACTTCAGTTAAGTGCCACAATATGATTGGTGTTAGACTAAACAACTCTCAAGGAGCGTTTATTATTGCTTATACGCTTCTACCAAAGAAAATCCATTGGTAGATCCATTTTTTTATGATAAAATACGCTATTTGACTAGCATGTTGTTTACGGGTTGGTAGGGGAACTTATAACATCTTAACAAGATAAGCTGTCTATTTGTATTTTGATATTAGGTAATCTACAGACTGAGGCCGAAACGCGATGAAACTTGACGGCTTTTTCATCTGTAGGCGGTGGTTCGTGACCCGGACAGATTTTAGATACCCCATTTAACATCCACATTTCCACATGAAGTCAAACATGAATTCCGAAAAAATATAAATTAATTAGAAAAATGTTGGAGCCAGGGGGGATTGAACCCACGACTCGATTATTAGCCATACGCTGCTACTTTAACAACAACGAACCGGTCTCCCCGTGGCCATGGCTGCTGCAAAGCAACCGAAACGTCGGGCCGAAGTTAAAAATCATTGTTCAAATACTAATATATCGCGTTTTAAACCGTTAAAGTGTTTTATTTAAACGAGCCAGTCAATATTTCAAACGACTATTCCGTAAACATACGTAAATTGTAAAAATTACGCATTTTATCTTTAGATTAAATTAGCGTTTCAATAATTGATAAGATTTTAGTTTAATCCATTAACGGAATATTTTCTTTACGTCTGCATATATATTATTTAAAATATATCTATCACAAGTATAAGTAAGTGCGGGGAGGTAAGGCAAGCGGTAGAGCAACAGCATGCAGCAGGCATGCTATGTCCTGGCCGTGGGTTTGACTCCAGTTCGGGCCACCTAATTTATTAAATCTAAAATAAATATAAAGAAGCTAACGTATTAGTGTTGTATAATAGAGCATTTTTCAGCTTTAAATAATTAATTTTTCAGGCCCGTCCGAAAGGCGAAGGGTTAACCCCGTACCAAGGGAAGAAACGGTGTTTCGGGGAGTACAAGTGTCCGAAGTGCAAACGCAAATGGATGAGCGGGAACTCCTGGGCCAATAATGGACAGGAGTGCATCAAATGCAGGATCAATGTATTTCCCCATAAGCAGGTAATACGTAGTCCGATTTACACTAGGCTTTTTTCATTCAAGTTTGTATATTTGTTTGTATATTTATAAATTGTATATATACTTACACTAGCTGATCTGACCGTTCTTTTGCCATATGATATTTTCGCCCAAAATTTTGCTTACCTCCAAATGGTTCTTGTAAGTCAATCTTAAAAGATAGACATCACTGTTGCAGATATTTTTCTAATTTATTGAAAGAAGGTTAATTCTTTTCTACGCATTTTTTTCGTACCTTGAAGTCAAAAATGATTTATTAGGCGCTTAAGCTTCACTGCATGTTGCTTCCAGAGACCTTTGGAGAAACCCGATGGCTTGGACGTGAGCGATCAGTCGAAGATACATCCTCAGCATCTCTGTCAGAAGTGTCGCTCTCTCGGATATTACTGTCGACGCGAGTATTAAGAATCGATTCAAAGAACGTCCATAATAATCGATCAAACCATCGATTACATAATATTCAAATTCAAAATATTTCGAAAAGGGGTGTTTTAGAAGTGTATTTTTGAAAATAGAACTTAGTACCTCTTCTATGAGTTTTACTTAAACTGGCTTTAATTTAATTTGTCTGTATCGAGTATTAATTAATATTGGTGTGAAAAAGGATGTAATTATTAGGCAATATCTTGAAACCGTATTATGTTGGAGATAATAGTAAAACTCATAATTTAGGTACCTAATACATTGATTTAAGTGATCCATATTCTTAATACCTCTTAACCCTTTTACAGTAGGATCTGCGTTTAAGAGGTTCGCATACACTTGAACAACACGAATACGAATAGTTTATATCAATGTTAAATAAGTGTTTTGGGAACCAGGTGTTGAAATGTTAGTAAATGAGATTGACTTTACTTTAAAGCGTTGTGTAAATTGAATTTTGATGCAAGAACACACTTTTCCTTCAACCATAAACTCGCACTAAGTCGATTTTTTTTAAATTAAGGATTATTATAAGCTTGATTCTTAAATGACAAATTATTCATATATGTTAAACGTTAAAGTTATATTAAATTGTATATTTCGTTTACTCGATGAGATATAAATGTGTATAACTCCAAGGCATTACAGATACTTACTAATTAAATTGTATGTATATTTCGATAAAATTTATTCCACTATATGTTATTAGCTGACAGTGTATTTAAAGTAAACGCTAGTTAAGTTGAACGTTGTCATTTTATGTATATTCGAGATGGAATTAATACAAATAATATATTGTGTACTAACAATAGGTTTAAATAATTAACAACAGAGTTCTGGATTTAGTTAAATTTTCTGATATTTTACAATTTTAGACATCTTTTTCACTCATTAAGACGGGTTTAACTGTTTAAAACCCGAAAATATTAGAAATGATTTTACCGCCATCTGTCGTCCACCCGTAACCTTTACTGCTGTAAGAGTTCTAGATTTCTGATATATTAAAATATTAGACATCTTCTTCACTCATTAAGACGGATTTAACTGTTTAAAATCCGAAAATATTATAATTGATTTTACCGCCATCTGTAGTCCACCCGTAACCTTTACTGCTGTAAAGTAAGTATACAAAATGTCAAGTCGTAGTTAGAAATAGAATATTATTATTTCACGTTCTTCGCCGATAAAAGTGTAATACTTATCGTTTTCCCTCCCGTAAACAACAAAAAAATATTCTCTGTCAATAAAAAAAAAACAATATGGCGGTTATTTTTTTTCAATTTACTTCTTTCTAAATTATATCAGAGAATATAGCTAATTATATATAATTATTAACTGTCCACATACTTACTAAAAATAATATTACCAAAGTTCCAAAGTTCTGTGGATTCTCAATGTGCCAAAAATAGGTGTTTAAGTTAGTTTTAAATTAAACTCGTAACAAATCACTATTTGCAGAAAAGAGTTTTCTTAATTTAAAACATTTATTATTCATATGGATGTTAAAATTATATTTTTAATTCACTTAATATTAGATATTTTCGATGGATTCGTTTCCGCTTTGATTATTTTTTTATATGTTTCGGTTTTAATTGTATTAATTACTATGTACTTATAAAAACTTTATCAAATACTTAACTAATGTACGGCCAAATCTCATCCATTCGATAGTTTATCGCCAACATGGTTTAAATTGATTATATTTTCATTTATTTTCATGTCGCTGAATCAACGGTGCTTATTTAATTGTAGAGGTATTTTTATGACGCACAGATGTATTTTTATATTCTCGTCCAAAGAACAATTATTGCAAAGATATATTTCTAAAATTGTTAGATAATTTAAGAAAGTAATTACCACATCCAAAGATAACTGAAGATATAAATGCCAGATGTTTATATACCTAGAATAAGTTTTGCTAGAGTTAAGAAATTATTTAGAAATATATTTTGACAGGTTTTTGCGACCATTAGCTTGAAATATTATGGTTGGCTAAATCGATCGCAAAACCATAGTGTTATAATATAGTTTTCGAATTAAGAATTGAAAGGAGGTAATCCGCCATTTTGTACATTTACTTAGTTAAAAATTAATTTAATATTAGTGTTTTGGGCAACTTCTATTAACTCCTTTCTTGTTTTGAGCACACACTAGATATAATTTTCTTATTATTATTGGTGAACATATTACTATGAATTTATTATTTCTGTAAGTGCACAGTAATATGATTTTTTTCAATAAAATAGTTCGATTTTATACTTATTATTTTCATTTTTCATACCAAAGAAACGACATTTTCGCGAAAACGTACATTGTACGTAGTAAAAAAGAATTTGAATTGTTCGAAATAGCTATTAATACTTTTATAAAGATATTTGTTTTTTGTAGGTTCTAACTTACTTACGTACTTACCGCTAAAATCGCCATTTTGTGTTTACTCAATAATCTATACATAAATATTATTATCATCCTTACAAATAAATAAAACCCTTAAAAATGCATTGCGTAAGCTTGTTTAATATAAAAGCTTAATTAAGAGCACCATGCACCAGTTAAGAATTATAAAGAAATCCGTCAATTTTAATGAAGATAGGCTGGCAACACTCGAATCCTGTGCGGTCCCAAAAACGCATTCTCGTATCCCGGTTTGTAATTATTATCGTTTAGGTCTTCGTCCAGAACGGAGCGTTTTTCAATATGGCCGCTAGCCTTCTCGTCAATCTTTTCCAACATCGGGACGTCTTCAGATGCTATTTTATCAAATAAATTAATGCACAATAAGACAGCGTACAGTATATATCCCATGTTGGTGCAGTATTTAATAACTATTTTCAGTTACTCCGTGAATAATACTGGTAATCCTTAATAAAGGTGGCACATTTTATACCATGTTATGTTATTTCATGTCATTTGTAGAATCACGAGTTGCTCTCAATTAGATTATCTTTGTATTAGCACGCATATAGTTTAAACAAATTATGAAGGTGTTATGTTATGTTAAAGGCCCACGCGTTTACAATCCACGCTACCACATTATAACGATATTAAAAACACGGAAATGTATTTATTTATCATTCTATCTATTTTAACACACGAGAACAAAACCTTTTTCGTTAAAAATAAAAAATATAATTTTAAAAAGGGCAGGAAAAGTAATAAAGAATATTCTTATTTTTTAAGTTTAAATTATAAAAGGAATATCGTGAATTTGTAATGAAGGTTTATTTTAAAAAAAATAATAAAAATAACTAACACAGTAGAAACCGTAACTATGTATATATTTTTAAACAATCGATTACTTTTATTAGTTTATTGAGAAGATTCTGTCTGAACTATCGTTCTGTGAAAATACTATAATACAGCAAGTACTTGCATGTGTGATATGCACAACTTGGGTTTCCTTTGTCTCTCAAAATTAATGATTACTTAAAGTTATATAAGTATTTATAGCGGGCGCTAGGTGCAGCGGTGTGTGTTGTAAGATTTATCTTCCCAACAAAAATAAAAACCGAGGGTTATTCTCATTCTCTTCTTTTTTAATAATATTATATAAACTTTTAATACATACTTAAAATACAAGTCTTAAAATTTGAAACACATATATTACATTTCGGTTTTGGGAGCTGATGTGGCGACGTACTCCTTAACTTTGGGTAGGGATAATACGTTTTCCTTGAGCTTCTTGATATTAGGATACTTCTCGTCAAGTTCTGGCATTTGGAGTAGAAGGTTCTTAATGGCGTCATAGGCACCAGCGATGACGAAATCACCCCAGCTTAACTGTAATGACAATTTTTGTGTAAGACCCAAAGTAATAGTCAATAACATGATACGTGGCATATCGATAGGTGGTCGGGGCGGCTCAATAAACAAAGAAACTCAAAATGCGACAGGTGAACACAAAACTTTAGTTTACCCTTTTTCTTTTATTTTTGAAGATCTATATCATTTTATTCTATTCTAGTATTTACTTCGTGTTAATTACCTTTCCATTAGCAATATGTCCGTTGTTGTTTCCGATGATTTCGTCAAGTTTCTTCAACGCTACTGGGTAGTAGTTCTTTTCTAAATCGTCTTTAATCCTTTGTTTGACAGCTGGGTCTTGCTCCAACATAACAGTGGATGCCTCTGTAAATTTAAAATAAAGCTTAAGCACAAATACATATCTAATGGTCACTTGTTTATTTTTAAACCTAATGAATAGGGGGAAAAGTTGACATCCTCTGACACTTTTGTTGGAAGGAGACAGCCTTCTATCAACATGTCACTGTGCTTAGTGCACTTGTGCTTTTACATTTTTCACATTTAAATGAGAATATTAAGAGGATACACTTACTAACTCTGATGTCTGTGAAGAAGTCCATATTCTGGTCGATTTCAAAAGCCTCTTCAGGGTTCTCGCCAGCGATGCCATACTTGCGGCCGAGGTACCGACAGATGGCCAGGGTCTGACTCATTTTCTTGCCGTTGACCTCTAGTACTGGCATCTGGCCGAAAGGTGTCTCTGAAATAAGTTTATGCTCATGGTAAAACGTAAATTTCCTTCAACATTTAAATTGCCAATTTCTACATGATCGCTCTTATTACAAAACAAGGACTAAATCTGAAACCTGGTTTAAGCCTTTGAAGTCCTTATTACAAAACGAAGTTTATCGCTTGTGACTGGACTAACTATGGTACTAACTTGGATTCATTTAACCGTTAAACCTGGTTTAAGTTTTTTTGTAATAAGGCTGGATAAGTTTATAACACTACTACTGCAAACATATTCTATTACTTAGTGTACCTGTGGTTGAATCGGTCAATAGCGCATCTTGTTTAGATTTTATACAGCTGGGGTGTTTCGCCTACTATTAATTGAGCCCCATGCTGGATAAATTTCTTATTTTCCATTGAATTTTTTTTTTTTAATCGATTTTTTTTAATATAATTGTTATTTTGAGATTTTACAACGCTGCTATAGAACGGTCAACCGATTCACATATTACAGATCTTAAAATAAAAAATAAACATACTTGGTTTGAAATCCGGCCATTGCTCTTTTGGGACGCGATGATCATCGAACTTCTGTCCTCCGTAGGTCAAGAGCATACGGATTCCCTCACCCAAACCCTTGAAGGGGAAGTAGTATACCACAACGTTTTCCATGACTCCTGAAAACAATCACATGTTAAACTAATAGAGGATAAATAGTGAAGTAATTAAAATCGAAAAAAAAAAGAGTTAAAAAAGGCCTTCCTTACAATAATAACGAGTAAGCCCGGTAAAACATTAAATGTCACCACGGAATGTAAAAAATAATAAAAAAAAATAATTAGGTATCCTATACGGTTATCTAAAGCTCGATAATTACAATAAAGGCATGTTTAGCTCCAATATATGGCTTTAACTAATTGTATTGTTATCATTAATTTAAAAACGGGTCTTACACTTTTAGATAAGATAGTCGTTTTTATTTTTACTGAAAAGGAGCAGAAATTAATTAGGCGAGAACTATCTATGTACATACATAAAAAATCATCCAGTTATGGCCAAAATGCAATACCTAACAGAGAGTTACATATTAGCATAGATTTTTTTATAGTGTATTTTTCTAACATGGCAAGAAACCATGGAGAACTGGAACCGTCTCTCCTTTCAATAGACACTAGAGAACTGGAGATGGTCTTTCATAGAGTGAAGTTGTTGCAACAGAAATATCGAATATATATTCGATATTTCTTTAACTCTGTATATATATATGGACCAAACGACCTACACAAACTTATCGACTTAAAACAAATGACATCACTTTTAAGTTTTTTTTTCTTTTTTCGTCATTATTATTTATTTGGACGTTTGTATTGCGATCGTGCATAAGTGGGATTCTTACCTTCTATTGTCAAACTAAAGAAATTTTAATCTGTCAATTTTCGTAAGTTTATTTATGGCATTTTTATTATTTTTAGCACAATTTGGGATTTTTAATATATAATTGAATTTTAGTTAAAAGTGATTTTAGTGTAATATTGTTTTTTTTTTGTTAACTCATGGGGAAATCACGATTACGTGTAAATTGTTTGTTTGTTTACCCCAAATGACAAGTTAGAAAAAATACACTACTAACGTATGATATGTAAGTACGAATGTATCAAACACAACACAATGATAATTAACATTTAGGTATGCGAGAAACCTTTTTTGTTACAATACCTTGGCCGGTATTATTCATAATTGCCTAGCGACGTGGTGATCATAAATAACTAGGTAACTTTGTGTTTCTTTTATGCATATAATTAAGTTTAAGCATTAAAGTGTCAACAACCTTTTATTAGAATTGAAATAGCCAAAGGCAATTAGTAATATATTTCAATGAAATAATAAACTAAAGTAGTGTTCAAACGCCTATCATTTAGGTAGCTACAATACGAGTTATACCGTTAAATGCATACCTATAGCGAATGCTGCAGTTTTTTGTCGTATTTAAATAATATATTAAGATGATTCTATGAATATAACCGAAGTTTTCAATACAAATTCTAATAATTCCTAACGAAATGTCAAATGCTGCGTCGTATTTTACAAATGTTTAAGAACTAATACTACATGAAAATATATTATAACTAATTTTAAAAATAATCAATACTGCGTTTGTGACAACACTACATGAAAATTTTATAACATTTTCTACATATAATATTTATCCTATATAAAGTAGAAAACTCCTCAACCGGCGACTTTCGAATCTATTTATAAACACGATAACCGGCTTCTGTTGAATTCTAAAGTAAATAATAAATTAAATTTGCGTGGAAAACACACACTACACTATAACTTACTTATCTCAAATATATATAAATGTACTCACTCAGTTGTTAATATATCACAAATATATGTTGTTACGTGCCTACGCGTAACCGACTTAATACTGACTGATATCTAGCTGTAGCCGATCTGTAAGTATAGATACATCTACGTTTCTATAGCGTAGGGCTGCCACAAATAACAAACACATTTTTGTATAACAAACTTTATTTAATTATTGGAGGATTATCCTTCTTTAAACACGACATAGTTTTTTAACATTCATTAAAAAGTAAGTAATGGCTGTGACTATCCTAATTCTTCTCGTATTTACTTCTAGTTCGTTCTACTCCACAGATGTGATAGAAAGAATGTCGAAATAAAACACTTTAACGGTTTAAAATGCGATGTATTTTGGTTAAACTCGTTAAAAAATTATTTTTAACTACGGCCCTACGTTTTAAACCGTTAAAGTGTTTTATAAAAAAAACTCGCGTAAACTACAGACAGTATTTAATTAACCAGTACAGAAATCATGTCATTCAAATAGACTTTTATTTTTTCACCCTTATTCTGAATAGTGTTAATTCAAAGAGATTAGAAGATGATTGCGCTTCGTATTTTCTATATTCAATGTGAAATTTAATGGATTAAATAGTAATATAATATTGATAGAATTTAAAATTTATATTATTAGTATATATCACAGCCTTGTTGAAACACTCTTAAGTTTTTGTTAGCACTAATAACTTCTGCATAATACCTACATTATATAAATTAAACAGTGGTATCTTATTGAAATAGCACATTCAACTAACCGTTTTTTTTTTTTTTTTTGTCAACCCTAACGAAACCGGCACTGGATAACCTTGAACGGCTCCACAAGTGAATTCGCCATGTAATGGTGAGCGTGCATGACTCGGTTCACAAATTATTATATCATTTTTTTGCGAGATATCGTTGTTTTTTCTTGAAAATTTGGTCGAATGAAACATTTATCATTGCTATGCCTTTTGTTGATTTTGTTCCAACAGATGCAATTACATAGCATAAGAAAATCTCTTATCAATATACTTGTGGGTTAACCAAGTTCTTATCGATAAAGGCTGTATCTAAAAGATATCACACAGATAACATTTGCAGGGAAAAACATAAATTTAGATAAAATTTAGTGGATTATTTAAATCTGTGTAGTAAAAACAAAAAAGCTTTTTTTAAGATTATTATTTGAGATACGATCTTGTAAGTATTTGCTTTGTGTGTATAGTACTTAAAAGTGAAAACAAATAAAATAAATCATACTTTACTATCTATAAAATTATAAATAAAATATAGATTCGTAAGAAAAACTCCTAATATGTTTGTCTGTCCGTTCGTCGTGATTCTACCTTAAATAAGCCTTAGTAATTCGATATATACATTTACAATTTATTATACTTCAAGGGCCCTTGAGAAATAATAATGCCCGGGTGCAGTAAAGGACAATAACAAGATATGGAAAGAACATATTATATACCTCCCACAATAACTTGTTTTTCTGTTCAGTTGAAGTACCGTGTATCAGCTTAGTAGAGTCAGGTCCACACCCACAGAATTATTATGCAATTCATTCATTATTATCTAGGCATGAGATAGGAAGGTGCGGCTAAATACTTTGTAATATCTATGTATTATGTGAACATACTAGGAAGGTGCGGCGTGACCTGCCCCAACGATAAATATCTATATATGTACTCACAACCAAGATTTAAACTTGTCTTAAGCTGTCTGTCTATCTGACTCCCGCCCTTGTTGATTATTACAAAAATAAATATAAAAAAGTGCGTTATAAAACTTACGAATAGCATTTATTTTTTACCGCGACATCGTTTTCAAGATAAAGTTACTTTTAGAAGATAATAAATAGTCTAGAATTTAGATTGTATAATTTCCTAGCCTAGGTGTTTTTATTTATGTACTAACCATAGTTGAATTGTTACTTTTCTCCCGTTGTACCTAATAACAGCTGTTAATGTAATGAATTAATTAATATATTTTGCGTTCAAGCCTTAAAAATGGGGGGGGGGGGGAAAGGGGGGGGGGGGCCCCGGGGGGGGAAGAAAGAGGGGGGACCCCCCCCCCCTTTATAAGTGGGATGAACTTTTATTCTCTAAAAAGATAAGTATAAAAATGAATAATGTGGGATGAACTTTTCATTAGTAGGCTAAATCCATATGTCATCTCTATGACGGGTAGAATCACTGTGTTTGACAAAAGAAAATAGGATTAAATACGCAACGACGCACATGACAATATAAAATATTTATTACCCAGATGAAATCAACAAATGAAAAAACAACGATTTTTTACAGACTTCGCAGTCCAGTTCACAACCTCTTGGGCGCTTTAATTTTTGCGAATTAATCTATAATTTCACTCAATTCCAAGTTTGATGCCGCCTTATTTTCTATCGCAATTAACTTACTAAATTACTAAGGCGATTAATTATTGGTAATTGTATTGAATCGGGAATCCTCTTATTGTTGATGTTATGTTCACCTAAAATCATGAAATTAAAAAAAAATCTTGTGAGCAGGGTCGAGGTTTCCTAGCTTCAGGAGCTGGCGAGTTGGCTGACTCGCTTTTTTCAAGCTTAGGTTAAAGGGCCAAGGGCCCTCTGATATACGTCCTACGATAGCTACGCCACTGAATGTATGTCATATTACGAACAATATTATTTTATCCAGTATAACCTCTTACATTTAATATATTCCGTAGAAGGGTCGAACGTATTATGTACAAAGAACTTAGTGATGGCCTGGTAAAGTAAATCGTATTCGTATATCGGAATAAAACTAAATTTTCAATAAATAATACTTTTAATTTCAAAGACATAATATCACAATCGATTTTGTCATGGCATCAAAGTAAAAGTTGACGTCAATAGCTTTTAAAAGGGGTTCCTATGTAGTATATTACAGACAATAAACAAAAATATGATCTCGGCTAGAACTGCAATATTTTGAATTAGTCGTTAACCAATTTTATATTAAGATCTTTATTTAGAAGGGGGTCTGTGGTGCAGATGTCGCCACGTATTCCTTAACTTTGGGGAGGGAGACGACGTTGTCTCTGAGTTTCTTGACGTTCGGGTACTTTTCGTCCAGGTCCGGCATTTGAAGGAGCATGTTCTTTAATCCGTCGTAGACGCCGGCGATTACGAAGTCACCCCAACTCAACTGCAAAAGAATTAGTTATTAAGTACTAACATCACGAAAGCATAGAACTCATTGAGGTTTTTCGTCTTATTACATTAAGATTCTTTGTTTTAACACGCTAATCTCGGAAACTATTAGGTTACATAGAAATAATATTTTTGTGTTGCTTGGACTAATTATTAAGAAAGGCTTTATGCTTTAACACTTTTGTCTGCGACTAACGGAAGCGAATCAGAAGATGGAAATGTGGAAAAAATAGGGAAAATTACTTTTTAGTAAGTAATAATAAAAGAAATATTCTTCTTTAATTTGCGTGCGAGCACGCGATTTTAAGGTTAACTCACGGAACTAGTGGTAATAATTCTTCTTAAATTATTTTTATGGCAATAGAATTTGCCAGGTAAGTTAGTTAAAAATTAAGTTCTCGTACAATCATGACGGCAGACGGCTCCAACCCGTAAAAATTGTACAGCAACGTCGGAGCTTTTACGGTTCGTGAGTGAAACCATTATCCGATTCTCTTTGGCGCACTATTATTTTGACTTACTACGTACTTTTGTACGTTAGTTTTTCCCTTCGAAGCGTAATAAATTAAGGGCTATCAAATAATGGTTAGAATGCACTGATTATAAGCATTACGTATAGTTATCAAGGTTATACATTAATCTAATCAAACGAAACTGAAAAATGGGCTGGGCGCAGAGATTAAATCGAATGAAATGATGAAATATTTGTAAAATTCCTTCAAACCACTAATATCGGAGCGCCTGACCAAAACTTAAAAGAAGTCAATGTGAATCACGGCTATTACACCAATATTATAATGTTTGAACGCGCTTATCTCAGAAACTATTGATTTGAATTGAAAAAAATTTTTGTGTTGGTTGGAAAATTACTGAGAAATGCTTTTGGTTATGATATTATTTTATAGGAGCAAAGAAACAGAGGGAAGATCGTGGAAAAAACGGGGAAAATATCATCTTTGAGGGCTACTGTGTGTGTGCGGGAAGACGATTCAAGAAACCAAACAATATGAATGATTTATTTAAATGTTCGAAAAAAAATGACTACCTTCTAAGATTTTTGAAATCTGAGGAGGGTATTTTGAAAAATAAATATTGATGTTCAAAATAACTATTTCACGAGGACACGGGCACAGATAGTATATATATGATATGAGGCTTGAGTTCTATCTGTGCGAACGGGAACTGCTAACTATCTGATGAAAATATCGTCTTTGTACCTTTCCATTAGCGATGTATCCATTGTTGTTTCCGATGATTTCGTTAAGCTTTTTCATGGCAACAGGTATATAATTCTTGTCCAAGTCGTCCTTCATCTTTTGCTTGAGTGCTGCGTCCTCCTCAAACATGGGTGCGGCACACTCTGAAAGGTATTATTATTAAAAGTAAGCAAATGTTATTTTCTTTTGGACTGTCTATATTTATTATTTACCACTACTACCAACTACTTCATTAAAAATCGTACCTACTACGATATCAATGTCGACTGTTAGTTTTTTGTTTTATCAAAAACTAGCCTATGAGCATTAATATTGTACTTTGGAATTGATAAGCAGGCATATTATTCAAACAAAGTCCAATCTGAATAAGTTTTTTTGTGTAAATCATTCACGGCGGTTATAATTTGCAACTTATGCATCTTTATACGAAAATAGTTTCTTAATATTCACTTCATAAAAAAAAATACTTGGACTTTTAAAGTAGATTTATTTTCACGTCGAATATCTATGTAAGACTGGAGCCGTATTTCTTATTGCATTCTTCAAAATAAACGACAATATTGTGTAGTTAAGCGTGGCTGTTGTATCGTGTTTTAATGTGGAAAGTTTAAATTTAATCTGTAATTTCATTAAACAACAGAAATCAAGTCGCGTTTCATTAGTGTTTTTTAGAGTCTACTTCTAGTAAAATAAGGATACAAATTTTATTTCATACGTCTAATTTCCCTATAAATCGTGTTAAGTGTATATAAGGCACAAAATAATTAAAATCGATTAGAAATTGGATAAGAATACCACTCGGGCAGGACTTGAACCGGCACCCCCAGCGTTCCGTGCTGTTGACTCGGTAGCTCAATTGGTCAAAGCTACAGCACGCTAACCAATTGAGCTACCAGCTGGGAACGCTGGGGATGCCGGTTCAAGTCCTAACCAAGTCACATTCTTATCCAATTTCTAATCGATTTTTAATTTATATAGTGGCATCATGATGATGCACATGTGAAAAATATTAAAGCTTTCAAACAAAATAATTGCTAATAATATAATAATTGATAAGTCTATACTTACTGACACGTAGTTCACTGAAGAAAGTCCATATTCTGGTCAATTTCGAAGGCTTCTTCAATGTTCTCCCCCGCAACGCCGTACTTGCGCCCGAGGTAGCGAGCGATGGCTAGTGTCTGACTGTATTGCTTGCCATTCACGTCTAATACTGGCATCTGGCCGAATGGGGTATCTGAAAAATTTTAGATGACAAATTCCTGTGTGGGTAGAATTTAATTTTTCCCTCCCCACAACAACCTTTTATTCCTATACAAGAGTATTAGAATCCGATAGAAGGAACTTGAAACTGCGGGAAAAAAAGTAAACATGTATATACTGTCTGTAGTTTACGCCAGTAGTACCTTTAATATAATACACTTAAACGGTTTAAAACGCGAAATATATTAGATATATGCTATTATTGCTTTTGCAAAGCGGCTGTTTAGTCTTTTAAACCGTTAAAGTGTTAAAAGTAGAATACATACTTGGTTTTAGTTCAGGCCACTGTTCTCTTGGTATACGGCGATCATCGAACTTTTGACCTCCGTAGTTCAAGAGCATACGGATGCCTTCACCCATTCCCTTGAAGGGGAAATAGTAAAACACAACGTTTTCCATTTCAGCTGAAAAAGGATTGGTAATGTAAGAAAACGAAATAACAGTACACGTATACAATAGTACTACAGTTGGAGCACCGGTAACTCGATGAAAGTTCTGATTTCGGTAGCAACTTATTCTAGCCAATATAGAATAGAAGGTTTTTATTATTATTGTAGGCAATGAGACCTACATTTTTGATCTAATATATTTCGACGTTATAGTCAACTTCTAAATAATAAGTACGTCAGCTAACGGTTAGTTAACGGGCTTGTCGATGCAATGGTAACAATGATAATAATCAACGAACCTGTCGTGGTTCTGATCCTCAACAGGTCTTACACATTTCTAATTAACGTATAATTTTTCTGAAACATGAAACTACGACTGGACTATCTAAATTCCATCCGGGTCGCGAACTACCGTCCACAAATGAAATAGCCGTGAAGTAAAATCGCGTTTCGGTTTCAGTCTGCGGATTTCCGAATATCCAAAGCCAAAATAGGTCGAGCGCATCTTGTTTAGATGTTATATGGCGGTGGTTCACCTTTCGAGTGAACCGCCATGCTTGTTCTGTCCTTCTCTATCTTAAAGAATAGAATGCTGACAAAGATATTTCAGTTTCGATTTTTCTTGATAATAATAATAATATGTCATTATTTACAACAATGACTTGTCTAACTTTCAATTAGTGTTCATGTTTAATCAAAAATGTAATTAAATACGTTAATAGAAATTGATAAATGGTTGGCAACAGAATATGTTTCCTTATCTATGTAATGGTATTCGGTAATCCGTAAAAAACTAAATATGAACAAAACTTACTTTTGGGATTTGAAAGTGAGTATGTGAAAACTAGCTGACTTAACTTAACCGCTTTCGTAATATTGTGGTTAAAGGTGTTGGGTTACGTTGGGGACGAAAAGCCTCGAGAAAGACAGAGGCAGTGAAAGTCGGAACAACTACTTGTAAATAAACGTGTTTTAACCCTATACCCCAAAAAGGGGATACTAGATAGCATTGGTATATATCCTTTACACTTAATGATGCCATAAAATACTTACAAGATCTTGAAGAACCGACAACTAATGCGTAGGCCGTTAGATTAAAACTGACTCGAATTCATAACTCCAAAATATAATATCGGTTTTGATAGTCATTGATAATTTAGCCGATAATGATTACATACTATAGCGATATCTGTATGATATCATGGCATGGCGTAGGGTTGTCAAAAGCAGGTTTCAATGTAAGTCATGTTTCCAACAGTGAGTATCTCACAAGTGGGGATAGATCTCCTAAACGAAGGCTTCAGAGCCGAGCCCCACCAGGTTTAACCAAGTCCAGGGCGGGCTTCGACAACAATCTGCTAAATTAAAGAATAGATCATGTGTTCTCGTAGGCATGGGGATAATGACACCTTTTCCTACCAACCTGTAAGTTACAAATATTGAACTCGCGTTTTGTTCGACCTAAACCCTTACCTCTTGTACTGTACACTAGACTGTACCTCTTGATCAGCAATTAAGTCTACCAACCATTTGATTAACGAGGTATTTCACGCATCTCTTAGAATACAGCTAACTATGTAAGTAAGTAATGTATAGTTTAGTTCTTACAAAGATCATTCGTATTCATTCATTAGTCATTTTGATTGTCCGTTATAAACATACCTCAAGGACTTCCCAGACGCGGCCCTAATTTATATCCTTGAAGTAGACGTGTTTTTAAAAGGTATCCATGACAACCACTTCTTTGTACGTTTTTGTAAGTAATTGAAACGTGCCCTTCGTTAATAACGAATATTAGCTTTATTATGAGACTTCAAGGTCCCTTCATTCAGCCTAGTAGGTAACAATCAAATATATATTTTGTAGTTCGAGCTATTTTAGTAAAAAATGTATTATGTTGGACCTACCTACAAACATTTAATTGCATAACCCTTGTATGGGTTGCGTTGTAAAATTAAACCGGTAGTTCCTGAGGTTAGCGTGTTCAAACAAACCTTCAGCTTTAAAATATTAGTAAAGGTTGAATTGCCAACCCTATACTCCGGCAGTAGATGACTTTGGACAATTATAATACAAAACTGCCAAGTAATCGTGACGACACAAGGCCATGTCTAGACGTCATTTGTTTTACTCATAACTTGCACTTTGATTTTGGACTTAATCTCGTCATAAAAGAAAAAGTCTTAAAGTCTTAGAACTGGTGCTATACAGATAATATTTTTTAAGTGGTTGTTAAACCAAAGTGTTAGGTAAATTGTGTAAATATGTTAAAAATATATCTACTGTTACTCAATATTACGTTAACTTTTAAGTGGATTTTATTAACTTGTTTCACATTTTAATTAGAAGGCCAACTCATTTCCCCTTACATAGTCACATTATTTTTTTATATTAAGTATTATAACATTATTACAAACTAACCGATTTTTAATTGCATTAAAAATTACTTCAAATATTTTATTAAAATTATTTTACACAGCACAAACTATACTTTTATATTACTATGATATTAGTTTGTGTAGAAAGAGTTAATAACTCTGTCTGTCTGCCTCCGGCTTTAACTCCGAAACTACTCAACTGATTTAAATGAAATTTGGTACACAGATAATATTAGAACTGAGAAAGGACATGCCTTTAAATCCATAAAAGGGTTGTTAGGGGTTAAAGTTTGTATGAAAATTCGTGATTTTGTACTAGAACAATGAAATTTTTTGGAATGGAGGGGGGGGGGGGGGAGCATTGTGAGGGAGAGGTCCGGCAAGTAGCACTTAACTATATTGCCTGCCCTGAATGCGCTTTTATAAAGAAATATTCCCAAATATAAAAATTCTGTCAATAGTCACTATTCCTCACAGACGAAGTCGCGGGGTCAGTTAGTTAATAATAAACGTTTACACAAAAGGCTTTTCACATAAAAATGTTTATGTGTGCAATAAAAATGGGATAATTGTGAAAACAATACATCCCAATCAAATACCAATAAAACAACAATAACATTTTAACGTGTATTAATATAGTAAATATGGCGTATACTTTTACCAGCTTAAGTTATAAAATTATATAAACAATGTTTTGTCTCTTACATTCCAATAGATAATGACATAGGTACGAAAAGGACAAAAGATTGAAAAGCTATTTACGAGCTTATAAAGCAGTAAAGTATATTTAATAAATGCATTGTTATTATTGTATAAGGCACATTTTTCACTTAGCACTGTAATACTTGAGAATGGCACATAGCTTTCCATATATTATATGTAAATGCGAGTAGAACTTACATTTCAAGGTAACTTGGTTAGGAAAATGCTGTGAGTGAGACTTCATTAAGTCGAATTATTTTAAAATAACATAAACTTGTGCAGTAGATATTACTTTCAGTAATACATACTCTGATCTATAAGCAAAAATCATTTTCGCAAAAACATTTTACAGTCTACACTGTAAACAACATAAGTGACATTTCTGCGCAAAGGAAAACATGTGTAATATAAATCTCTTTTATTTTTCTTTAAATATTATCAACTGTTGTGCGAAAAAGCTATAGATCTTTTATCTCAGTTGAGTAAACTGAAAGGTGAACAAAGAAAAATACTCCTAAGCAGTGAAATAATTCAGTAAATACTTATTTTTTGTAAAGGCAGTGGGTGTTTTGGCCTTAAAAGTCGGTTTTAGATACTTTATCAGCGTACGCCTTAACCTTAGGTAGGGAGTATACGGCGTCCACTACTTGCTGGAAGCTTGGGTACTTCTTCTCCAAGTCTGGTATTTGCATCATCATCTTCAGGTAGTCGAACATACCAGCAAATGCAAAGTCTGCCCAGGTCAGCTAAAAAGATAAATACAAACTATTGACTATGGTCTAAATTCTCTCTTCTTTGTATAAAAAAATTTTTTTTATGATAGGTTACAGCATAACATAGAGTTAACTCACATAGTGGATGCGCTGTCATCAATTTTGTCTTTGCATATGGAGGAAATCCAGACTGAAACCAGAACGCGTTAAAACTGGACGGCTTTTTCTTCTTAAGTGTTTCGTAAAATTTTGACGAAGTTCATGAATAAAAAAAATATAAAAAGAAAATTTTGGACTCACGACCCGTTAATTATTAGCAGTGCTATTTATTATTTTCCACATGATGGCATTATACTAAAAATCGATTTAGATTAAGAAGAAATTCGGCAATGACGTGGGCGCCACGGTAGCTCAGATGGTGCTTTAAGTTCCAACGAGTTATAATTTATTTTTAATCCAAGTACATTCTTAATTCAAAATACCTCTAATCCGAGATTGATATTTGTCTGATTGACGCGTAACTCCCGAATGATATCAAACAAATTGGTTCCGTTCTCTCTCTTAGTAACTACTTGACCACTTTCAAAAATTATTTCAGCATCGGTTTGTTTATACCTTGCCAGCAGCGATATGTCCATTGTTCTTCTTGATGATCTCGTCGAGTTTCTCGAGCAACGCCGGGTAGACGTTCTTACTTTGCTCCTCGTGTTTCTTCGCCTTCACATCCTGGTCCGGCTCGTATTGGACTACAGCGGCCTCTGTAAGCAACAAAATATTAATGTACGTCAATAGGTAAAGAGATTTTTAAGGCAGAGAAGGGCAGATAAGCAAGGCTTCAATTGATAGAATATGAAATACCTCAAGGAACGTGTTTTGTAGACCTATTTTGGCTTAGGATATTCGGAAATCTACATCCTGGAACCGAAAAATTTCACATGTGGATGGTGATTCGAGACTCGAACAGAATTTAAGATATTTCTACCACTCGTTTAATGTCCGGCTGGCCAGATTAAGTCCAATGTTTCAGAAACAATACAATTGGCCCCGGCGGGTATCGAATCGAAGGCCTAATGATATGAGACCGTATTTTTACTCACTAGCACGAATGTCATTCAAGAAGTCGACGTTCTGGTCAATTTCGAAGTCCTCTTCAGCGTCAGAGCCCGAAAGGCCGTATTTGCGGGCGAGGTAGCGGCAGATAGCGAAGCTTTGTGCGTACTTCTTGCCATCAATCTCCAATACTGGCATCTGGCCGAATGGGGTGCCTAGAAAAATGTTTGTTATTTCATCTAAGTATTATAATAATCCTTATAAAGCAGAAAAAATCCTGGAATTATTAAATATATATTTAGATATTAGAAAACAGAAGACAATGACACTGGTAGTGACTAATAACTTAAAATTACCTTCGCATCTCTGTCAAAAATGAATTCGGTCTAAAGTTATTTAGCTATTATTTTTAATAGATAACGTGTTATCCTTTGTTTAATGAATATTTAATTAAACCTTGAGACTATAATGAGTTATTTTTTTGTACTTTTCGTCGGTTTATCTAATTCGGCAAAAAGTTTACAATACTGTAATAAAACGCAAGGCCTTGGAACATTCTGAAACCAGTTATCGTATCATCTGATAATACAAGAAATGTTTATTTAAAATTACATCATCCGCCATTTTGTGAAACCAGTTGGACACAATAGCAAATACAACGATAAAGAATTGTAGACTCATCGATAACCAATCATTAGATCGATCGCTTGTGGTTTTAACCAGTCTTTTGAAAAATCAATATAAGTAAATACAGTCTGTAGTGAATAAAACACTTTAACCGTTTAAAACGCGATTTTAGTTGAACTTCTTTTTTTTACTACGGTCCGACTTTTCGGATGCATTGCAGCAGCCGTGGACACGGGGAGACCACGACTGCTGCTTAATATAATATTCATAAAAGTTTAACTAATAAATATCGCGTTCTAAACCGTTTAAGTGTTATATTAATATCAATATAAGTAGGTATGATATTGTTTTTTTTATACTCTTAATTCTATATGTTTGACGCAACACATTTTTTTGTTTAAAACCGTAAAATGTGTTGTTGTTTGTTGTCCATGCGTTAGTCAGTGTCTTAATTACATTTCGCAAGTAAACGCTTCTGCTCTGGTCAAACTAAATAATTCACTGTGATATCGAATCCTGGACACGCGAAGTTGCACGTTTATAACGAAGCTACGGAAGCAAATACAGATCTATACTACAAAACGCATAGTAACAGTTGATTTAATTCAACATTATCTAATCGTATGCCACCAACAAGTTACGATGTCTTACAGTGATGTCTTATCAATTTGAGTACAATGACTCGATGATTTCCAACTGATCATTATTAGAATGTTCCAATTCTTAAATACAGTTAAAATACCAAAGTCTACGTCAGGTTCGCGAGAGTGGTTGATCTAGTGATATTATCTCTTATTTCCCTGTAGGGTGTGTCATCTTGGCCAATATGCTTGTGACAATATTCTCTTATATATTTATTTGAACTGAAATTAATACTCAACGATTACTGATAACAAATACGTCTTCTGTCAAGTTATCGCAATTCAATGTTCATTGATATATTCTGAACGTTACTATTGACTAGGGAATAATGTGACTTCCGTAGCTTGCATTTACTATTCACTATAATATAATCTTAATTATTATAAAAAAGACAGTGGTTCCGTGTCATACGAAGTCTAATAGGATTTGAGTGTTTTGATAAAACCAAACTGTCATTATTGTTGTAAAATGTAATCTTCTTTATTTTAAATAAAACATTTTAACGGTTTAATACGCGATATATTTTAGTTAAACTTGTTTGAAAATTATTTTTAACTACGGCCCGACGTTTCGGACTCTTTGCAGCAGCCGTGGTCACGGGAAGACACGTCTCATAATTTTTTAAACCGTTAAAGTGTTATATTTAAATGTGTACTACTCGCGTAAACTACAGACGGCATCTTCTTTATTGCTAAGTAAATAAAGAAAAGAGGTCTTAGACTATCTTACAGCTTCAAGTAGTGATCCATCGAAAACCTAAAGCTTTCAGTGTGCAAATTTCACAGAAACAAAATTAAACATACAATCTTATGTACATATATAGTTTAGCAATTGTGTAAACACAATAATGACGCCCGCATCATTGGATAACAAGTGGCGGAATTTTAACAAATGCAAGTCATTCAAGACCCCTTGCCATAACTACTTGATATGCTTTAATTTTAATGTGAAGTTTGGCAATAATATTTTAATGTAGTGTTACTCGATGTATAAAATGGTAGCTAAAATACCAATCAAATAATGTGAAATCATTGTCTCTAGAGAAATATCTAGCTGCCTAATGAATATAGTTGCCGGGCAGAATTATTTTATGTAACCTACTTGGCTTAAAAGCTGGCCAGTCCTCAATCGCGACACGCTTGTCTTCGAACTCCTGGCCTCCATAAGCGAGAAGAAGACGAACAGCCTCGCCTAGAGCCTTGACGGGGAAATAGTAGAAAGTGACGTTCGGCATTGTGTGCTGTAAAAAAACATGTAAAATGAACACATAAGACTAATTCATAATGTATCGATCTGCTTAGTTTCAGCTAAATCTTGTTTAGATGTTGTATAGGCTTAAATTTAATCACGATAAATGAAAACCAATTGCCGGTCTATTGTTTTAAGTAAAGTCACATATTGCAATCCTTATTCCTAATTATGTTGGGCCATGCAGTATTTATAATGTTATAAAATATCTTAATTTTAAGAGGTAAAATAATTAAAAGTACTAAGCCCACATTTAGTCCCATATATGTTTTACTCAAAAATCAAGTCTTAAAACAAAATTACACATTTGATAAAAATTCTAAAATTTGTTAAAATTCAAAACTTACTTATAAGTTTACACAAGTGTTACCTGGCAGAGTGCTAGTAGTGAACTGATACGAATTTGTATTACAGTCAACTGATAAGTTGTCATCAGGTAAAGATGGACACATGAAATAATTTATCTATACTTATAATTATACAAACGGAATCAAACTCCCAAAATCATTACCATCCATGCAACAATAAGGGACACAGGGGAAAGTTAATTAAAATCAAACTTTACTTGTTCACTCAAGAAAAAGGATAATCTTACTAAAAATCACATTTTCTTGTGATTTTTATTAAGGTGATCTTTAATAGTTTCAAGAAAAATATTATATGAATAGGTAATCTGGAGCAATGATCTAAACACTGTATATTCTATAGAGAAATGAAATCAAAAATAACTGATTACATCAATTTCTATTTATGTGTTTGTACTCAGAGGATCTAAGGCTTATAGTTTGTTAAAACTTAGCTCTATTAATGTTTATCATTTTCATGTTATACATATATCATTATATCACCCGAAATGTATTATCGCTATTTATTAGAAATAAGACAAAATAAAAGAAAATGGTTACATTGTGATGGCCGTTATTGTAGGCGAAAACTAAATTTAATTCCGCCGGTTCAACTAGTGACCTTGAATACAAATTCACAATAGGTTATTGCTACATGCTTGATTACCTAGGAAACCGTATATTAAATGCAGAACCAAAACATATAATAAAAGTACAACGTGGTAATTTGGGTACAATAAATTAGGTGTGCAAAATAAGTTTCAACTAAGTCATTGTAAATTTAAATACCAACCAAAATTTTACTAAACAGCAAGCCGGCACCAAGGATGATAAACTTTTAATCTGATTTTAAATGAGTACGAAACAAATAATGACAGTTGACAGCCAAAAGATTGTCAAAGCTAGCTGTCATGTTTATGATGTTACCTTGTAAGTCGACTTTTATTTATCATCAACTGTGTAATTTGAATGAATAGCAACGTTGTTATTTTTTGTTAGACTTATATCTTTATTTTTACGACTTAAAACTCTTAAAAAAATTAATCCAGCGTCGTGGCGTGAATTATAAAATAAAAAAGTATGCATAACAAAAGAAATAAAACTATTGATAATTCAGAACCCTCAGGAAATATAGAGGGGACAATACACGAATGCGTTCATTTCATTTTGTGTCGTGAGGGAAGTAAAATACCTATAAAACGTAGTGAAATCAAGGATCACCTAAATACCACTTGTCAAATGCCTCCAAGTGAAATAAACGGTATTATTGTGCAAGCAGAAAAGTTGCTAAAAAGAGTAAGTGAAGCCTCCTCTTGAAATTGTACTCTTACTGAGATAAACATAATTTCAAATACGAATAATATAATCATATCACACAATGAGAAACAAAAATTTTGCATTTCAGATATATGGATACAAACTTGTACAGATACCCTCGAAAACCGGTATTCAGTATATAGCAGTTTTAGAAGAACCCTGTGAAGAGTCATTTCTTTCTACAACCGTAGATTTACACCAACGCCAATTGCTAATTGCTGTACTAACACATATATTTATGAGTGGGGGTTCAGTGAAAGATGGTAAAGAGATTTTCTGTCACATTTCAGACATAAGTAAAATTATCCTTATCTTTGTATGCTTTGTATGCTTAATATAAAATTGTATGTCTTTAACCCCTTATAAGTTAACTATACAAAGTACCTAGAAACATATTGCTTACTAAAACCAAAATTTTGCATGTTTTTCAGTAGCCATGATTAAAGGGGAATGATTTTATTCAAATCAGAAAAATAGTTCATATTTTAACTTTTTAAGTGTAATATTTCATAGCATATACCAGCTGCCTTTACTACAAATTCGCATTGTAATTTCTGATTTTTTATCATAGAATAGATCACTTTTGATTATTATTGCAGGTGATATGTGGACCTTCCTTAGTGAAGCAGGTCTTCTCAAAGAGACTGATAATGCTGGTAAAAAGATTTTAACAAACCTATTTACTAAACAACATTATTTGACGTACACCAAGGTAAAAAATCACAATAATTTCTATCCACCTATAATTTTTACAGAGATTTCAGTTCACGAACCCTTATGTTTAATATGTGTTTGAACTTGGTAATAAATTAAATCGAAACATATTTTTATAATTTCATTTCAGGTTGGAGAGAGTGAATTAGCTAAACATATATTTCAGTGGGGCCAACGAGCGAAAGAGGAAGTTCCAAAAATGTTTCTGCTCAAAAAAATGGCAAAAGTATGGCATATATTAAAATTAAGGTCCAAGTAACTTGTAACTTAAATTTAATTTCAAATTATTTGTTTCAGGCATTGGACAGGGAACCATCTGATTGGACAGAGCAGTATAAAGATTGTTCATTATAAGAAATGCTTTAGAAATTTTTTAATAACATAAATTCTAGTTTAATATTATTTTTACTTCAACAAACAAAACACAATGAAAATTTAATATACACTATTTATTTCCTTTTATCTTTGGTATAATGAGTGTGTTGCTCTACTCTATAATATTATCTTCTTTTACATATATACTTACTATTATATAAAGCTGAAGAGTTTGTGTTTTTGAACGCGCTAATCTCTGGAAATACGTGTTCAAATTGAACAATTCTTTTTGTTGGATAGAACATTTACACCGGCGAAGATGCAGCAAAAAATGTGACCAAAAGTGGGAAAATTATTCATCATTATGGGTTTCCGAGACGTACGCTGCAAAAACAATTCAAGATACCTAATAGATATAAAAATATGTATAAAATAATGATTCCTCTTTAAATGATCTAAAAAAATGTCTGCGATGCTATTTGTCGTTGGGAAGAGACGCAACCTACGTCGTAAGTAACAGCTTAGGTTTATAAAAATGAGATTTGTTAAACCCCAAGTAACGATTCTCGCGGACGAAGTCGCTGACATAGCTTGTAGGATATAAAATTTACCAAAATTGAAAATTATGATACTGAAATGACACAATAGGTATAAAGGATCGAATTTCGATAAACAGTTATCTGCTATTATACGTCTCTATTATCAAGACATTTAGCATGGTTGTCAGCTGTTATTTTTGACAGTTGACGTAACGAATGAAAAAATATTTTTTGGATATATAATTGTTCATAGAACACATTTTCTAAATAACAGCACGCAGAGTGCTGTAATCATATATTTATAATATCTTTTTTGTGTCATTATAGAGTCGTAAGGTTGTAGATAAAAGATTACTTGAAACATTTTGTTTTCAAATATACAGACGTCTTCCTAGTAGCAGTCTGCTGAGTAATCAGTAATAACACCTTGTTAGTTGATATCTGATATCCAGGGCATACAAGCGTACCAAGTGTAATTTATTGAATAAAAATAAGTGAGTTTTTACAATGGCACAAACTCAAACTGTTGCTGAACCAGCCAAAGAGAGATATGTACCAAATGGCTTGAAATTTGCATTTGGTGGAATTGCCGGGTACGTTTTTATTAATTAATAGTAGCAAAGGTATAATAGTCTTTCAAATAAAGTATTAAATTACATCATATCAAGGTTTAACTGACTAGAATTGTAGAATTTTATTTCTAGCATAGTTGACCTTCAAGTTTTTAATATCATATTTATATTGGTTATGTAATGCTGAATGATCTTGTATCAAAAGTCAAAAAGACAAAATTATCATTGCAATCTATATTAGACTTTGTTTTGAATATAGTTGGTTATATCATTAAATATTGAAAATTATACTCTAATTAAAACAGCCTTATACAATTTCTAGTGTTACCTTAGGATAGACTTTGATTACACAAATTATTTTATTGTTAAATTTCTGTAAAGTAGTTTTATAGTGAATTATTTCTTTAAAATTGTTTAATAAGCTCAATAGTAGTCAATTAAGTAATTAACTTTAAAGAATTTTCATGGAACAAAATTGTATAAATAATTTGGAGCCATCTAAATCATCAAACACCAGTTCTTCTTTTCTTTCAGCATGGCAGCAACATGTGTGGTACAACCACTTGATTTAATAAAAACGCGAATGCAGCTTAGTGGAGGTGGTCGCTCCTCTTTTGGAGTGGCTGGTGAGATTGTGGCAAGGGAAGGGTTCCGTTCATTGTATACTGGGCTTTCAGCGGGATTGTTACGTCAGGCAACATATACAACTACGCGTCTTGGTGTATATAGCTGGCTCTTTGATGCCTATAAAGAGTAGGTATATATATTATTTAGAAACTAATAATAGAATGTCAATAACCTTGCACTCAAACTTATTATGAAAGAAACAAGGTCATCACTGACATATCTAATATTTTGGTTAAAATATAACAAACAGTGCTTCTTAAATAAGATTAAAGTAACAATAAATGGATAAACATTGTTTTTGTCTATCTTTGTTATATCTATTAAAAATTGCCATAAATTATTAGACAGAGCAGCTATGAAGAAAAAATTATTGTTCTTTTACTGTGAAAATGGAAACTGATTTACTTTTGAGAATATTTGATTAGATAGTGTGTACAAATAAACACACTTTCACTTGGTTCACGGTCACGGTTGTTACATAATATAAAGTGTCCTTGACTCTTTATATATTTAATATTAACATAGACCATATTTCAGTTATATAGTTTTTAAGTATATTGTTTAAACCTACTCTATTTCACAACATACAAGGTGTGAATCAAGTTATAGCATTGTGAAGGCTAGATAATTGTTATATTTGTTGTTATAATATTAATGGAAATGTTATCTAACATTGTGTCACATCTTTTATCTTATAAATCTATAACATGTTTAAGGTGCGACTTTGTACTTATAACAAGGTGTGCTCTGCACATGTATTTAAACAATTACCATATGTGTGGCGTTTAGATTTCTGTGTCAGTTTTATTTATTTATTTTATTTACAGACAAATAAATGTTATAGCCTCCGCTCTAACATATAGAAACAATTTTTTAAAATAGTGGCGATTTGTCTAAAACGCGTTGGCGCTACAAATTTTGTGACTGTCAAGGTCCCAAACCTCACAATTGGTAACAAATAAAAGCTATTGCCGGCATAACTATTATAATATGATGAAATGCAAATAACATTTGACCTTTCAATATCAACATTGTTTGATAATGTCTACATCACGTTATGTATTTATAAAATTAACTCACTATTGTACTTGGGTGCCAATAACCTTTACATATTGTGAAATTTATTTATATTTTTTATACGAAATATGATAAAAGAAGGTAGGTTTTGACCTGCAGAAAATGTTTTTTTAGCTTTTTCAAGTAGTTGGTCAGACTCCTATGCCCTGCTACACTGAAATAACATAACTATGTATTGTTTCTCCAAGATTCAGCGTATGACTGTTTCATTGAATTTGTGAATCAATTTTTAAGCTTTCTACTACTACTACAGACTCAGGTACAAACAAAAATAAATTATGTAACAAAAGTTATAATCCTCTTTATTTCTGTCTTCCAGAAAACATGGGGGCGAAGCGCCGGGTTTTGGTATGAAGACAGCTCTAGGTATTGCGGCAGGGTCTATAGGTGCCTTCGTAGGGACCCCAGCAGAGGTAATTATTAAACGATATTAATAATAAACGTGCCTACAGCATGGAAGCTAAGAATGATAGGAAATTTTGCTAAATATACCACTGAGATTTGAAAAAAATAAAGTAATAAATGGTATATAACCATTTAAAAATCGAAAATAAATTGAAAAAATTTTCGACTCGGGCAGGACTTGAACCGGCATCGACAGCGTTCCGTACTGTTGCTCTGACGATGCCAGTTCAAGTCCTGCCCGAATCGAAATTTTTTTTCAATTTATTTTCGATTTTTTAAATTTGTATAGTGTACCTTCATGTGCAATAACATGTAAAAAATAATAAAGTTTTCAAAGTTATATACCGCTAAAGTAACAAACTAGAAAAATCAGAACAGGCAAATATGTCTTTATTTCGCATATTAATCTTTGCTTGGCCAAAACACCACTGTAAATGGTTTGGGTGGTATGGACATTTTTAAATTATTGAATTCTAGAGGAATTAGTGAAATAGTCACTTTCAGGGGATTGATCACCTGGCCTTTCAAAATAATAATATTGATTATTAAAATCACTGTGGGAACTGACATATAACAATGGCACATTGACCTGTCTTCAAAACTTGATTCCGAGCCAAAATATCTACCGAAATAGATTAGCATCATAACAACTCGATGCATACAAGTTCAAAGTCTTTACCTGTCGAAATAGATCTCAGGTGTACATAGATCCCACTGCTGGGACTCTTGATATATAACCAGAATATACATTTCTTATGGATATGATAGGAATCCTAATTTTAACATAAAGCGCAAAATCTTATTTAAAAAGGAAAAAAGTGACTAGAATGTAATAAGATTACACTAAGCAAAATCTCTTAAAGACGTGATGCATAATAATAAGAATACTAATAACTAAATATCGCCTCTGATATCAATAACAATATGAATAAAAAAATAAGTTACATACATATTTTATGAATTAAAAAAAATATTATTTTTTTATTATAACTCTTTAGAGAATAAAATACTTAACTAAAGACTCTAAACAAAAAGTTTTGATAATTAAACTTATTATTTGAGTGTAATAATTATACTAATCTTATTTTAAAGGTGGCCCTTATACGAATGACAGCCGATGGCCGACTACCAGCCGAACAACGAAGGAATTACAAAAATGTAGTCGACGCTTTATTGAGGTACGACGCTATTTATTATGTATGGTGTATTTTTTCTAACTTGGCTAAAGACCACAATAAAATATGGCCAATGTCAATAGAGTCCTAATTATGACCTTTTATAGAGAGAAGTTGTTGCCACAAATGACATAGGGATGAAGAAATAACGATTATATAATTGCGTAAAGAACTCAATATTAAAAATCACTTTATGACACAACCTTCTCTTAAATTGTTGGTATCATTATTATTAAATACTGTCTATAGTTTACGCGAGTAGTACACATTTAAATAAAACACTTTAACGGCAGCCGTTACTCCACGTGACCAAACCAACACCTGCAAAGCATCCGAAACGTCGGGCCGAAGTTAAAAATCATTTCTAAATAAGTTTAACTATTCGCGTTTTAAACCGTTAAAGGTATAAATCATTTTTCTCCCTATATGTGTTGTGTGCTAATATTTCATAAGCCGATATATTAATTTCAGAATAGTTCGCGAAGAGGGCGTCCTAAAGTTATGGCGTGGAGCAATGCCCACGGTTGGGCGGGCTATGGTCGTCAATGCAGCGCAACTCAGCACATACTCGCAGGTAAAAATTTATTGGTTTAAAATTTAAATTAGCTGTTACCGAGTTTCATTGTTTAAATGAGTATTAACCGTTTAAAACGCTATGTGAGTTATTGCTTTTTAATTACGACCTAATGAAAATAATACCGAACAAAAGTCGTGGTCACAGGGGATTAAAGAAGGTAGGTGTCCCTTTGGACACAATGACTTAGAGTTTAACATATCTTTAGCGCCATCTGTGCACCTAGTTAAGAATCAGTGAAACAATACGCTTTTAAACCATTAAAAATGTTTTATTTAATGTGTACAACTCGTGTAAATTACCAATACAGATTAATTTTAATACGTAAGAGGTAAAGTCAAACATTCAAAGTGATTAGATATATTAACATTGTTGCAACTTCTTGTATAACTGTATTACCAATATTTTAATTACTATGACATTAACAGGCTTTCATACTCTATCTTTAATATCTAGATAAGATAAGGATAAGTATTGTCTGTACGAGGGTTGTACAAATTTCAATAAAACAATTTTAAGGGTTTAAAACGCGAAATTTTTAGTTTTATTTAAAGGATGAGGATTGTTATTTTATTTATAAGATATCTATGCTCTGTTCACTTGTAATGAGAGTTAATAACTTGTGTTTATAATATTGCAGGCTAGAGAAATGTTCGTGGGCTACGTCCCAGATGGCATAACGCTCCACTTCTGTGCTTCCATGGTGTCCGGTCTGGTCACGACGATAGCTTCTATGCCAGTTGATATCATCAAGACGAGGTGATTAAACTGTTAATCATACAAGTTTGTTACAGAATTGTAATTATACTATATCACCGAAGTTAGCGAATAGTGATAAAAAGGCACGAAATATACTTTGTGCCTCCAAACAGGTGTCTGCCATAATGTCTGTTATCATTAATATATTAAGTTAATTAATAATTTATTTAAAGTACAATTTGAAACTGTGTAATGTTTTATTCTGACAGAATACAAAACGCGGCAAAGGGACAGAGTCAGATGGCAGTAGTGACCAGTCTGCTTCGCAACGAGGGAGTCTTATCCCTCTGGAAGGGCTTCTTGCCTTACTACGCGAGACTCGGACCCCACACCGTCCTCACTTTCATCTTCCTCGAACAGCTTAACGCTGCTTACTTTAAGTACTCTTAATATGTAAGTACAACGATGTAGAATAATCTCTTGTAGGACGCATGCGAGCTACTGGTTGTATCATACTGTGGAGTGTGTTCAATGGGAAAAGTTTAAAAAAATAAGTTCGAGCATGAATCTTCGTATATTTGTAATTTTAGTTCCTTTATGTACAATGTCTTGAGTGGTTTCTTAAGATTGCGTATACGCAAGAGTTAGCCGATAGTAAATATCAAATTCGGTGCTAATCAACAAAATCAAAATAGTCTAAAGATGCAAAGCTTCGTATTAAATTTGCGTATAAATGAAATGTATATATTAAGCGAATATGAAAATTAATAATACTCTATTCTATTATACAGGGTGGTGCGTGAGTTACCGAGTAATATTTACTTTAACACAAAATAGTAATTTATATATTAAACTATATTTTGTTTTTTTAACAACAATCAAAGTAACTTTATATATAAAAAGTCATAAGTTAAAATCACTTATTTCATTTAAAACAATTATTACATTTCCACCCTGTACAAATGAATTCTTAAATATATTTCTTTGTTTGTATTTTGTCGTGGCAAATGGTTATTGTAGTTTGACTATGAAAAATTGTGCCAAAAATGTTTTTTTATTTAATTTTTAAATGTGTCTGTTAATTGTGATGTTATATCGTATTGCTATTTATTTTCATTTATAGTTAATATTTTTTGGGGTTTATTTTTTTTCACTTGATTATATATACGTACACTTAATTATAGTCCCCGTAGTTTAAATTGGGGAAAACTAAGGTACTTAGTGCTTACAACGTTTAGATTTTTTTGTATTTTTTAATGCACAACAACTCGAATCGCATTTTGTATTTTGTCTCAGAATTTTTTATAAGCTGTTCGTATGCTTTTTGATCAAATTAACGTCATATCTTCACATATGTACAGTGTAGAGTTTGTATAACATAAACATTTACAACGGACAAACTTGTGAACTTTTTTTAGAATTTTTAAAAGGGTGTTTAATCTCATAGAATGTTATATTAAAAAATGTTAATATAAAATTATTAGAGGAAATAATGGGTAAAAAAAAAATTCCTTGAATGCTATTATAGTTTATTTATTTATTTTTTTATTGTTTCTTATAAAGAGCTTACACTGTACTTCAAGTTGTCACATTTTGTTTTTTTTTTTTGTTAAGATCAACTCCTTCTAGAACATCGGGCTAATTAAGATGAAACTAGATCGTTTAGAGGCCTAAAAATATGAATAATCGTATGTATCCCAGTAATGTAGTAGTGATGTTAAAATACAAATTCCACATACTATTTTTAGATGCAATTTTGTATGACTAACGATGTATACTGGATAATGTTATTACATTTTGGTTGTTTATATCATTTGTTTTATTTATAGAATACTAGCGACCTGCCCCGGCTTTGCTTGGGTATAATGCTAAAACACTACGGAAAATCTTTGAACATTGCATATAAACCTTACTCTTGAATGACTATCTATTAAAAACTGCATCAAAATCTGTTGCGTAGTTTTGAAGATTTAAGCGCACATAGGGAAAGAAAAAGTGACTTTGACTTTATTTTGTACTATGTAGTGATAAGCAGTTTAATTAAAATAATAAAAACCCTTTAATTTACCTGACAGACACATTTTTGTGGTCGTTTTATTGGACTATTTATTTATGAGGTAGGTTGGCTGTGCTATGTTAATTGGATTCGAACCCAGACCGTCTTGGGATCTCTCCATTGATGTTTATAAAAAAAACCGTTTAATACTATAAGGGCAACAAGATGTCGACAGATAACATCATATAATTCGTATTATACTTGTACCCGATTGTCTTACATGACTTTCATATAACTGTAGCACGACTTTGAGGTACGCACGTAATTATATAATTTACTAAGTCTTTGATAGGATTAGACGAGTCGATATTAGGTATTCTAGTTGACTTCAAGAGTAGATATCTAAAGGGAAATAATTATTTAGTGCGGAGTTCCGTTCTCCTTACGTAATTATGTGGCCGTTACAATTCTGTGTCCGTTTAATGTAATCTACTTATAAGGGTTGGTTTCGCTAATAAACCAAAATACCTAATCTTTCTTAAAGGTTTAGTTGTTTTAGTAACTTAAATCAATGGCAAAAGAAAATAATATAAATAAAAGATAAATGTTACATTTTACAGGCTCCATTGAGAATGGAAGGTAAATATCGAATAGGTACAGATTCTTTCCTTTCTAATCTTCTAATAGCATCTGCTACACTCGGATCTTAAGATTAGTAGATACAATGTAAGAAGCTTCACGAAATCTAATGGGACTATCACAGGCTTAATATTGCCGCTTACTTATTTGCCGCTAGTCAAACTCTGAGTTAAAAGGTATTTTGTACAGTCAGAGTTAACTTAACTTTTTTTATATTTTGACTTTAGATATACACCAATATGCCGAGTGTAACTGTAAGTAAAGGATTTACATATTACGGCTTACTATTGTAGACGGTTGTACGTGACCCGGACACGACACTACGATACTCTTACCAAATTCTCCCCTCCACATTGGTGGGGCCAATGTCTATATTTTATTTAAACTAAAATATTTTAAAAACATGTTACAGTCGTTAAGAATCGAACCCAAGACTAATTGTATTAACGACCCCGTTGAGATCTTTGTGACGAGCAATAATTCGATTCATTTACAGACGATCAACAGCGTCCCCGGCCACGTAGGTGTGTTCGACAAAGCCGGGCTTAAACTTCACTAGTAGGTCTTCAATTAGCTATAACTCGATACTTATTCGCATACTCCCGAGCCGCTTAGTTGTCTCCGACACACATCTCATAAACTTAATGCTCATAAACCGTAATAAGATTAAAAGGAAATCAGGACAGTGCCTCAGCGGTGCGCAAAGACAGTGGTTAAAATCGAACGGGAACAGCGCGGTCAACATTATCGTAAGAATGTTCAACTTGTACCAGCACATGAAAGCGAATAATGAGGGGAAGGAGCAAAAGGAGCCGGAGACGACGGGCCACGATCGGTTCTACCAGGAGAGGCATAGGTCCAGTTATAGGAAGAAGAAGCGGCGGTGCAGACGGGCGCAGTCTGCCGCTGAATTAAACCCTGAATCCCTGGCGGCCGCAAATGCCAAGGATAAACGGAATGCGTTCAGGGTTCGGTCTGTTTCCACTGACAAGGAGGATAGTGAAGGTTGGTTGAACGTAGTCTTCGTGTCATCTTACTTTAAGTAACTGAAATACGTTTAACAAAGTTTAGAGCAATCAACCCCAAAACTCGATCGGACTTTACTCTGTTATAAGAATAACTTAACTTATAATAACTAAATACTGTCTGTAGTTTACGCGAGTAGTACACATTTGAATAAAACACTTTGACGGTTTAAAACGCGATATATTTTAGTTATACATGTTTGAAAATTATTTTTAACTACGGCCCGACGTTTTGGATGCTTTACAGCAGCAGCAAGTGTGTAGGGGGGGACTCCTCTTAAATTTAACTAAAATATATCGCGTTTTCAACTGTTAAAGTGTTTTATTTATAATAACTAATTAAAGTTTTTAAAACCTACATTATACATTCATAACTATAGTGTTTTAAAAGTATTCCTATACGCCTAAAAGTTTCCTATACGCAAAACCAACCTGCAACACTAAATAATCTTTTATATAAAACACTTTTAACAAATTATAACGTTAATTTATTTTTAGTTATAATTGTATTATACATCATATATGTATATCTTTCACGCCTTAAGCCGTTAAAAGTGGTTTATTTGAACGTCGAGTAAACTACAGACTTACGAAATAATCTTACCTAACTACTTAGTGGTAATTATTTTCAGTCCTTAATGGGAAAAAGTATTAGTGTTATTACATAAATAGGCTGACTTGAGGTCATAAGTCTTCTAAAGTGTTTTATGATGAATGGTATTATTAATAAAGGTTAACAATTCTTATATTGATTGATCCATTATTTGTCAATAGAAAAAAGGCAAGAAAATAGATAACTTCAAACGTACTTCTAAATCTAGTGGTTGCTTGTTTTCAGAGGAAAATTCAGACCGTGCGCCGCTGGTCGCGCAAAAGATAGATTCTTTAGCCAAACTATTGTTTAACAAATCCATCATGGGTTCGGGTTCTGACAAGAATTCGCCATCAGAAGCTTCGCCAAAGTAAGTTATTATTTATCTAATCCAGCACAAAATATTGCATTTTGTTTGATAATAAATAATATATATTTCCATCCATGGAATTATTAGTTTAGATAACAAATGGTTCTAGTAGCTTGCTCTATCTATGTAACTCTGTATGTAAGTTAATAACTTTATGAATTAAAAATATATTTAATCATTTCCTTGTATAGATATCCCGAATGCACTATAGAAAGTGGTGTGGCTATCGCTATTTGTTCAGAATACTTATCTAGAACACCAAGGTAAGGACTTCTCGAAAACGTATTTTTCACACGTACATTAGACAAAATTAGGAATTCACGATAACGTGTAAATCTCGATAACTCAATTGGTTAGAGCAGCAGCACGGCTCACTATGGATGCAGCTTCAAATCTTGTCTGAGATTGGCATTTTTAATCTGATGTACTTATATGGAAATTAGAGTTTACCTAATCGTTTGCAAGAATATTTTATGTGAAGGTTCTTGTTCCATGATTGGGATATGACTTATAAAGCAGACTCATTAAAAAATCTATTTTGTTTTACTAGAATTCAAAGCGAGCCCTCTTATACTATGAAGTTAAAAATACATAAGATAAATAACGTTATGTGTGTTAATAAATTTACAGGTACACGTTACTCAAAGCATTAAATCAGGTTGGATACCGTCCAAACAAACATTGGTTCGCGATACAGGACAATACAATAAAAACTGAAAGGCTGTTAACAGTGGTAAGTTACATACATGTATATTTAATGTAAACAATATTATAATTATCTGATCAATGATAAAAATATATAATAGTAATTGTAGATTAAATTATAGTTAAATGACTGTATTGTAGATTACTTCATAGTAGGTAGTCTCTTTTCTAGGTTTAATAAATTGAACAGGTCTTAACTATCAATTTGCCTATGAATTATATTTGATTTTACTTAATATGACAGAGTAAGTGTATGTATACATATGTGGATATGTGTGTGAGCGGGGATGGAAATGGGGGGATGGAACTTTTTGTATGTGGATGATAGTTTAATCACCTTATACAAAAACACTGAGTTGGCATTCCTTAATCACCTTTCAGATGCCCCTAACAAACAAATGCCCAATAGAGCCAACAGAACGAACACAGTGTCTGATCATGGAGTTATTCAGAGCCCTGCATCACCCCTACATTTATCCGGTGCTGGACTTGGAGTTGTGCAATGGGCATGCGCTGGTCGTGATGCCTTTCAATTCAACTGGGAGTTTGAAGGATTTAATTTATAAGGTGGGTTCGGTTAGAAATAAAAACTCGATGTAACTAACTAACTCTATGAGTTAAAAGAAAGTCTTGTCCAAGTTAAAAATACCATGACAAACTTGAAAGAAGTTAGTAGATCACTGTCTACGTATAATTTATCCAGTTTTGTCTTTGTTGTTAAATAAACTATTTAGTCTTTTTTTTGTGTCAAATACGGCTTCTTGTTGTATAAACAATCGCATGTAAAGTTAAGACAGTAGTTTTAATCAAAACTTTTAACCTAAAGCTAAAGATGATTATTACGATGGGAACCAAAATTGTACTAATTAATAGTTTTTATACTTTTAAAAGTACACTTAGTATTTATCCTCTACTACACTTTCAGAGCACATGGAGTGATGAATACACGAAGAAGTACACATCAGTCGGTTGTGGTCTACCCGCTTCCCAAGTGGCCAGGTTTGGTAGACAGATTCTGGAAGCTCTATTATTCCTTAAGGACAAAGGTTTTCCGCCATACAGACATTTGCATTCCGGAAATGTTATGATACAAAACGGGGTAGCAAGGTGGGTTTTTAATTATTTTTTTGTAAAATTAGGCCGTAGGATAGGTCATTGTACGTAAATTGGTTAGAGCAACAGCACGGACTATGCCGGTTCTTTAACTACCGTATCATAATTTAAAGATTACCTCTTTTTCAGATTATGCGGTCTAGAGAACAAGCTTATCGGCGCGAAGGGGCGAAGTCCTAACACCGATGTGCCCTTAGACCACGTCGAAACATTATCCCTTGGACATTTGCTATTTGAGATGTGCGCTGCAACTGATACTGACTTCTTATTACTACCTGAATTGCAGCCATCTTATCCTCAAGTTAGTTCCAAGTGGCATGGCAGAAAGATCTCATATGTGTAAAACATATGAGATCGTTCTTCTTCTTATCGCCATTCTTATGTAAGAGGAGAAGATGTGAATCTATGTGATACTCGCCTTAAAGCCAACAGCGTTCATTTATATTGTACTAGCTTTGTCAACGACTTCGTCCGCGTAGAAAAGTTATTTTGGGCATACACATTTGTTTTGCAAACTTCCTTCGTCTCTATAAATTTAAACTGTTACCCACGACGTCGGCCCGTCGTTCTTGCAAGTTAATCTTAAAAGATAGACAGCTACATCTAGAAAGATATAGCGTCGCGGAGAGTTTTTTGGATAATTTAAATCATACTTTCATATATATCTTTTGGGTATCTTTTCTCAGCGTACGCCTCGGAAACCCACAAAAGATAAATAATTATCCACGTCTTTTCCACATTTCCCGTTGTTTCTTAGCTCCTTTAGTCACAGCGCAAGGATTTATATTTATAACCTTTCTAGATAAATGCTCTAACCAACACAAAATGTATTTTTCAATTCGACCCCAACTCTTCAAATAAACTCTCCACCTTTATATATTAGTATAGATAAAAATAATTATAACATATTTACAGGTAGTAGAAATAATAGGGCTAATATTCGGCCAGCGCACTCCAAGTCTCCACGAGCTCTTAATATCGGAATTGTTCCGAAAAATCGACCTGAGGGAAATGAAGGGGTCGTGTTTACCGGTCAGTTGTATTCGTACTATATTTGTTTATGATAGAGGTCAGACATGAGTAGGATTCACCTCCGGAGGTGAAATACCTCAGCTATATAACATGTGAACAAGGTGCGCTTACGACATCAAACTGCTCAAACAGAAATGCAGCTAAACATCATGGTGTTTTTAGCTGCGGACGCTTGTGGTGGACCCGTACGGAATTTTCAATATTCCTCCCACTCATTTAATATCCAGAATTCCAGACAATATCCAACAGTTAAATAAAACACTTTAACGGTTTAAAACGATATATTAGTTAAATTTATTTAAAAATGATTTTTAACTTCGACTTATAAGTTTAACTAATATATCGCGTTTTAAACCGTTAAAGTGTTTTATTTAAATGTGTATTACTCGCGTAAACTATAGACAGTATTTAATGTCCAACACGTTTTAGAAAAATCAAAATTTAATAAATGTTGCACCCTGTAGAGATAATAGTTAAGTGTCTTGTTTAGCTTTGCGTCAAATTAATTCCCGGGTTCAAATCCCGGATAAATAATTGTTTCGGTAGGGCGGTGCGTAAGAGTCATAAATAAATGTCTAAATAGTTTTTTTTTATTCGTAAAATTGGGTAAAAAATTAACTTAAAACGTAATCGTCTTCAGAATTTCAGTCAGAGACTATCCCAATCCTGTCTTTCGCTACTGAACGAAGTCAATCGACATGCTACGCCCCCCACGCTAGATTATCCACCACAGTCTTTCGGGGATCAGAGTCCACGCAGTTTTGAAGACCAAGCCAGCTATGCAGATTACGCACGATTTCGGGATACATCGCCCGTACGAGGGGATTATAGTCCACCTAGACGAATCGGTTCCCCGGATTCCCCACCACGCAGGTAATTAGGTAACAACAGAAAATAGTTCTTAAAGTATGCGTATAGTTATTATTGATCAATATGTTGTGCAAAAAAGAAACCAAATAAAATGTATAAAGAGATTGTTGCTGTAATTAAATAGATATCTATGACAAAATGATAAGTAAGTGTCTTTACCCACGTCCTATCTAAATAACTTAAAGTCACAAATTTGGGTCTTTTAGACATTTTAGACGTTTCTCTCGAATTATTTAACTTGGAAAGACTTCAAAAGCAATCACTTCAATAATAATTAAAAACAGATAACTTACATACACTAAAATACATTATTTTAACTGCGGTCGGACGTTTCGGATGCTTTGCAGCAAGTGGTACTGGGGGACCGAAGATGGAGGGTATCCCTAATATTAAATACGAAACAGTTAAAAAGTGTTTTTATTTAAATGTCTATTACTCGCATAAACTGACAACAATACTTAAAAAATATTTTATAAGGTACTATTTACGTAAAATTGTATAATATAGAAAATTTTGTAAGAAAACATATTATTTAACACTTTAAAACACTTTAACACGCGATATAGTTAAACTTGTTTGAGAATTATTTTTAACTACGGCCCGACGTTTCGGATGCTTTGCAGCAGCCGTGGTCACGGGGAGACCACGGCTGTCTCTAAAAATATATCGCGTTTCAAACCGTTAAAGTGTTTTATTTACATGTGTACTAGTCGCGTAAAGTATAGACAGTTTACGCGAAGAGTATTTATTTAACATATAAATATATTTTTTTCTTTTTCGCAGGCGACACTATTTTCATCATCAGGACTCAACAGAATCATGGCCGTGGTGATATTGTGTTAAGCGCTTAATATATGTATTATTAAAATCATAATTTTCTTCTTAAATGCTTTAAATATAATTTGTTTATAATCCTAATAGTTTAATTAATAAACTGTTGTAGCAGTCTTAAGCCTAACCTATGGGGGTCCCGAAAAATTTACTTTGTTTCCTAAGTAATCACAAAGTCTATACAAAGCATTACTTTTCTCAATAGTAGCATGTAACAGAAGACAGACTAAGATTTTTGTAATATATCTCACGTAATCTTATTTCGAGAAGAGAAGATGAGAGACCTCGTTTAATAATTAATGAAACTTAGACAATAGCTAATAAAACCTCAACACTACTAAACCTCGTTGGTGTCATAATAAAATAAAAAATGTCACAACCAGCAAACCATATCAGCAGAATGGATTAATTAAAAAAATAATACAAAATAAATAAAAATGACCGAGAAAAAAGAAGCCAAAGCAACTAAAACTATCCCCGGTTGGCTTAACTTTGTGATTGGGGGCTTAAGTGGGTAAGTACGTAATGATACAAGGTAATTCCACTGTATACTAACAATTTAATTGTACGTTTACAAAACGTAGCGCACAATTATTATTTAGAATTCAGGATTCAAAAAACAAATAGAGATAGAGAGAGTTGGATAATACTGAGCTCCTGACGACTTAAACCTATGGGCCATATTTAGGAAACGGTTATAAAGCAAAATAAATTATGTAATTACAAGATTATTTTAGTACGCATACAGTATGAAAAAAATTTTCCAAAATTAAAAAAAACGTACTTAATTATTGTTGCTTTACAAAAAAATGGAGAGGCAAATCTAACTTAATTTGTTTTACTTCCAAATTAAATGGAAAACATTATGGTACGTTAAAAACTTATTCTGACCTACTTATATTCTACAGTGTACTAGCATTAAAATATATTAGAATATATCTATAATACTACATACTTCTGTACACGGAAAATTACAAACAGTGACGAGACAATTTAAGGGTTTATTTTCTCTGTCGTTGCTCGGACAATAATAATTGTTGTGTCGGGGTATGGGTGTAATTATAAAGCCCTAGGCTTTGATGTATACACATTGCATCGGAATATTAGTCAATAGTTATATTTTATTATAGCAACAATCAGGGAAGTTTTCACTTATAGAATAAATACAGTTTAATGAGAAACAATTAGCTTGAGCTCCTTATGTATATACAGTGAAAGTTACAAGTTTTATTAAAAAAACGATACAATACAAACAGGTTTGGGTGTAAAGTTTACCTAGAATCGTCAAAAAAGTGTTCTGAAGGACGCATTTAATAGCGTTTTTCTTTAAAGTAAAGAGATCAAGGTCACTAGAGGTCATGGAGTTAAACAGTGTCGAAGTTTTACAATCCGTTCCGGCTCGCGGAACTATCGATATATACGTACAAGTACAAGCTAACAGATAGCTGTACTGTACCATATTACATGTAGAATAAAGAGAGTTGTATACTGCATCCAATTCTTGCCTTGACGATGTGTATCGTGGCACAGTTTGAGGGCATAGGAAATTTACTCGCAGCGCTGGGCCGTAACTGGATGCCGTCGCCCCTCTTTTCCGATATTACTCTTACGTCGCTACTGAGATGATAGGATAGTAGCGACGTGCAACATAAAATTATAAAGTTTCAATAATGTAGCTACAAGTGTAGTACCAAACTTTTCATGATGACAGCAAAATATCTTATCATTAAATTCCATAGCGACATGATTCTAACACCTGGTAGCGGGTATACTGGCTTATTAGTCAGACTATAGGATATTGGGCCCTTTTCATGGGAGTCCAGCTTTCCACAGTGGAAGCAACCAATCTAATTTTGACCTAAGCTATTATATTTAAATAAAACACTAACGGTTTAAAACGCGATATATTAGTTAAACTTATTTGAAAATTTTTTACGCCCGCGTTTCGGTGCTTTGCACGCCGTGGTCACGGGGGCCCGGTTTATTAATTTTTTTATTTAAATGTGTACTACGGTAAACTATAGACAGTATAAGCTATTATAACTATGTTTTTCTCAAGAATCATTCCTCAGAAGCCAATATGGAACTCTTATAATCAATAATTAAACCAAAATTCGCTCATCCTATATACCGATTTTAGTTTTGTCCATCATACATCCTCGTACAATTAATTATTATTTGTAAACGGCTAGTAATAATTAATTTTAGGTGAAACTACATAAGTACTTCTTAGGCTTACATTGTAACAAACGCATCTCTTTTTAGAATGTTAGCAATATGTGTAGTCCAACCGATGGATTTGATAAAGACGCGAATGCAGCTTGCCGGGCCAAAGGGGAGTTCAATAGGTGAAGTCGTCGGTGGTATTATGCAAAAGGAGGGGGTGTTTGGGTTCTATTCCGGTTTGTCAGCAGCTCTATTCCGTCAAGCGACGTATACAACAGGGAGGCTTGGATGTTTTAATGCGGTGTTTGATTATTATCAATCGTAAGTGCTTATGGACTTCCAGAGAAAAAACAAAATCCTAAAATATAGTTCATTCTAGGTGTCGCTTGTTAGTTTGACATAATATGAGGCCACTAGAGGCATAGTACCCTAACTGAAATTTTTTGACTTCAGTTATTTATATTTATATCTATAGTCTTAAAAATGTTGATCTACAAGAGCATAGTGACCGAAAATTGTGAACATAACTCTTACACAAATAATAGGACAAATTCATTTTCGCCTAAGTTACTTGCGTATTTTTATTTTCCTTCTTATTGAAAATTATGTTTTTTGTTATTAGTCCACTCTGTCTCAAGCAGCCTCATATTTAATTACAAATTAATTACAAATATTTAATTAAAAAATGTGTTACTCCTGAGCAGTGAATACTCTAAAAACGAAATTCTCTGCATATAATCAACAGAAACATCGGGACACCAAATTTCGCGGCTAAAATTGGCCTCGGCAGTTTTGCTGGTGGTGTAGGTGCCATTGTTGGAAACCCAGCTGAAGTGGCCCTAATCAGAATGACAGCTGATGGCAGGCTGCCTCCCGAGCAGCGGCGGAATTATAGACATGTTATTGACGCTTTGGCGAGGTATGTAGGTCACTTAGATTTCGTCAAAAACGTATTTATTGATAACTGACGTATCGTTGGAAGAAAATAGCCATTGGCGATAATGATAGTGGAACGCACGTGGTTGACATGACCTGGTTTTGCGTTGCAATACCATATAAATTAACATTAGTGAATGTCTACAAATCCAAAAATTTATATAGTACTATTTTTTTAGGATATGCCGCGAAGAAGGTGCCGGGACTCTGATGAGGGGGGTCACTGCAACTGTCACTAGAGCCATGGTTGTCAACGGGGCTCAACTATCGACGTATCAACAGGTTGTATTTTAGCGCCCATTATCTGTTCCTCAGTTATAATGTCATTAAGGTCTTATCCGCTGCAGCTTTCAGACAATAACTATTAAATAGTTAAACTAGATTTTACTGTACTTTGTTTCCTATTTATTTAAGGTTACAATATTTTTTATATGTATGTCGCGAACCGAAAAGAAAATTTTTTGAGGGACTTTTTGATTTTTAGGAATTAACAATTTTCAAAAATTTAATAAAACACTTTAACCGTTTAAAACGCGAAATATTAGTTAAACTCTTTTGAAAAATGATTTTTAACTTCGGCCCGACGTTTCGGATGCTTTGCAGCAGCCTTGGTCACGGGGAGACTAATGTATCGCGTTTTAAACCGTTAAAGTGTTTTATTTAAATGTGTACTACTCGCGTAAACTATAGACAGTATTTAATTTTTAAAAAGCTTTCTTTTTTAATGATAGAGGAGGACATACAAGCATATGGTTCACTTAATGTTAGGTCATATGCCGCAGCCTATAGCATCAAAACAAGATGTGCCGTCGATCTATTTTGGCTGTGGAAATTCAAAAACGTACTTTTTTAACACGAACTTACAATCTAAATTGTATGCATGTCTTCTTAAGTTCTATATCACCGCGATCAACATTGGAGCAAAAGATACGAGTCTTTTGTTAAGACCTAAAGTATCATTTTATTTTTAAATAATAATTATTTGTTTGCAGACCCGTGAAATGCTCCTAGCATATATGCCAGATGGAATCCCATTGCATGCAACCTGCGCCATGATTGCTGGTCTTGTCACTTCCGCAGCATCATTGCCCGTGGATATTGTTAAAACAAGGCAAGTATAACACAGTTTTCACATAAAATATTTAGAATGATCCAAAGAGCCAGAAAAACACAAAGCCGAGAATTGTGGACCGTGTGTTTGTTTGTATGAATTGTTCCTTCCCTTAAGAGATTGGAAATTATTTATTTATTCAAATTTTACAAATATAATTCATTAACACAAAAAAGAGTGAACAAAAACTCATTCGAGTATACCAAATAATACGCATTATGAATAAGCAATAAACAAACAAATCAGAACATTAATGAGAAGGTAGGAGGGAGTAGAATTTTTTTAAATTTGTTTTTTATTTTTTAGCAGTGAGTGATTCTGTCTAACTTGGTAATAAAAAAAATAAAAGAAAGGACGCATAGATCGTATTACCAATAGCATGAGTTGTGACGAAGTAACTTGGGGAATTATTTAAAAGTATAAACATTCTCATCGTTGTCTTGGTGCGTATGGGCACACCAAGGAAACCAAATACTAGAATCTTCGACCGGCGTAGAAATAAGTATTGCCAAATGCCTAGCTAAGGCGCTAATCGTTCATCACTCATGTGTAACACGCGATCGTATATTAATAATTAATGCGCATGTTTTTTTGTCTGATTTGCTCCGTTTTTGCGGCCTAACGGTTTTAATGTTAATCAATACTGACACGCCAGGACTGAAACTAAACCGGTTCTGTTCTGAAATATAATATCACCCGAACATGTAGACAAATAACAACGTGTTAGCACGAAGTACTTAATGCTTGCATAATCGGCTTGATTTGTCAAATAGTAACTGTTACTTTAGCTCCAACACACACCATTTATTTTACAAGACATAAATAACTTAATACTACTATGCTACATTTGAAAAAAGATGAAGAAAAATAGAAATTTAGAAGTGCTTGTGAAATGGGGGAAAGCACTCGGCATGTGCTTCACCACCCAAGAATATAGGAGAAGCGCTGGCTTTGAGCGCCCCTGGGAGGAAGAGTGATCAACTACAAACTTTTTAGTAAACTAAACTAAACTTTAAAAGTAATTAAACTTAGAATAATGTATTAAGGAGCAAGAATACTTAGGCTTCGTTTTTTTCCAGATGCGCTATTGCCTGCGATATAAATAATTAATATTAAATAGGAATAGGGCTTTAAAATGTGTGTTTAAATATTACTGAAAGACATGATGTGATAAAAAAATCTCGAAACACGTATTTCCTTACGGTCTCCCTCCTATGCATTGAAACGTACAGAATGATATATTTTTTAGAGTTTCATCATCAGAGGTTCATGAGACTTCAACAACTGTCTTAATAACTCACCTCAGCCAACAAAACTTTCTCACAGACCACGGCACAGTAAAAAAAGTTGAAAGGCGAATAACTTGCAGGGTACAGAACTCGACAAAGGGCGCTGGTCAAGTAGCAGTTCTGATGAATGTTATCAAGAACGAGGGTGTACTGGCGTTATGGAGTGGCTTTCTCCCGACTTACGCGAAGATCGGACCTCACACAATCATCACGTTCATTATTTTGGAGCAAATGAAAGCCTTCTATTTCAAACTATGATTAACTGTAAGCTGTGTAAATGTTGCCATTTTGGTATCCAAACACAATTAAAATAAAGTTGTAAAAGAACAAACAGATCGTAAATAAATACATGGCATAAATCATATGTTATACACATATATTAATTTTCAAGGGCTTAAAAGTATACTTTATATAGAGCGAATTGAATATTGGGTTCGACTTAAACAAGCTATCAAGACCCATAAATATATAAAAATTTTAATATTCAAGTTATTTGAGTGTAAAACTAACGACATCCATTCGTTCTTATAAGCTATTCCATTAATAATATTTGTAGCTACCAGTTAGCCTAAATCTAGATGGATAAATATTGTTTTTTTTTGAAATCGTAAAAATTCATTTCGAAAATGTTGCGACATTAAAAATGTATATTATACAGATTATAACGTCTAATATGCAAAATTAAAAGCATTTGTTTGTAGTATTATCTATTTCGTATAATTATACAGAATGAAGCAGTGTGGACGCGACAGAATTAAATTACATTTAAAATATACATATTAAAAAAAGAATGTGTGTGCACGGAAGAAAACGTGAGCGGGAATAACAGGTAGAAAAAAAAGAAACTACCCTGCAACTTTAAACTTTCTACGCGCCCACTCTCAAGGTTTCTTTCAGTACGCGTCCTTAATTATTTGGTTGATTTATAAATGGTACATTTTTTGGGCAGTTGCGTAGCGTAAATACACAATGATGATTACTTCGTGTTCAATGATTCGGCGCAAAGTAGCGACTCTTGCCACAGATTACTTTGCATTTGCATGCGCCGGCGCAAGACAAAGGCTTATATAATTTAAGGGTGCATATATTTTTCTTTAGATAAAATTTTGGCGTTACTAAACAGCGTATTACGTATATTAGGATACTTGCGTATTAAATATCTATACGTCGGTCATAGCTTTTATTGGAACAACTCAATGGACGGATAATTGGACTTTGTTTGGCAATATAATTTTTTTTGACTGTTTAAATTTTGACCTTGACTTGAATTATCACTATTTACCTATGTATTATGTATAACGATAACGTAATATTCTTAAGAATTTATTATTACACACATCCTGCGGACATCCGGTATTAACCAAATGTTAAACTTGTCGAAAATTGAGTCAATAAAAATAAAAAATCTGATAAAAATGTCTTTATTTATTCCAATAAAAATATCACATAGCCCATTATAAACAAAACTGATACGGTTTTACATCTCGTGATTGGAAAAGGTTTATTAAAGACGTCATTGTCGAATGCGCTCGCGCATTGCGCCATATTAATTCTTTTACTGTATGTCATTACAGAAGTATGAGAAACTACTAGAAATGAATTAATTGTACGCAGGTTTTTTCAATCATAACGGACGTGTATGTAAATACTGAAATGGCGCCATTCATGTTGAAACCAAATTAAAGTAGTTTTAGGAAAGAAATAGTGAACATTCCGTACCAAGTTTGGCGTTAAAAAGCAGTTATTGCACGTGTAGTAACACTTAGCTTTATAAGTTAACCGCGAACTGGTTCTTACCAGTTTTCCTCACTACATGGTACGTTCCGTTATTACAAGCGCAGAAACATCTAGAAACAGAGATAGCTAGCAAATCCCCAATACTATGTGTCTAAGTACCTACCCGTTAAATATTGACACAATTTAAGTCTACATACCAATCAAATAAGTTAGACGTAAAAAACATAAAACCTCTTCTATATTTTTTCCTATGTATTTAGTCTACTCATAATATAATCAACAAACGAAGACTACATAGGTTCTATTAAGTTTACTTGCGTAGATATAAATTTTTCGGTCAATGAAGGTCCTTACCGCTAAAATACAGTTTCGAATGCAAGAGCATTATATGGTTCCCTTATAAACCAGTTTATTCTATAAATAACATTTCAATGTCAAGGTGATTCTATTTTAGTCGCAAATCTAAATTTAGACTGTTTAATATACAGTATGATAACTTGTCTATAATGTTGCATAATAATCTTTGTTTTAATAGCACTCGTTTCCCCGCGAACGTTGACATTTTTACGCAATTAAGCTGTTGAGTTCTTGATTTTTATCGTCGAAAACTATTTTGAGAACACATCGAGATTAATAATATTCCATTTTTTATATGCACATCATGCAACGACGAAAAAAGGAAAATGTTAATGTGATCCTCGAAAAATATAAACTTCTGATAGGTATCTAACTAGATTTATTTTTTTACATCTTTTAATGTTTTTTTTTTTATTGTGTTTAATAGGTTATATTTTGTGTCTTGTAATCTACGGGTCATGGGTCCCACCCTTTGTTCCCCACCAGGTCCAGCATGTTTCAAATTAATTAAGAATTTTTGAAACATGTTAGATTTTGTCTGGAAATCTGGATAATAAATGGATGGTAGGAATGTCGCCAGGGTCACGAGCTACTGTCCCTAGATAAAAAAAGGCCGAAATAATTACTCGCGTTTCGGGTTCAGTCTGTTAATTTCCCAATATCTAAAGCCAAACTCGAAAGTGCATCTTGCCAAGATGTTATATGGCCGACATATCTCACTTTATACTAACCCTTGCTCTATCATAAGACAATAATACAAATGTCTATTCTAATTTTTAACCCAGAAATAATTGATGGAATTATGAATTTCTCATGTTAGAGTTTGATGATTAAATTTACATATAATATATTCTCTATTTATATGAATGTACTTTGAAGAATTTTCTCATAATATGATACCTAGCAACACCGATGAATAAATCATTAAGTTTGTAATTTTGACCAATATGTTACTTAAGTTTAAAGTTAATCCGGCAATGCCTCTCGGTCGAATAGCACGTGAGCGTGGTCTTGGTGAAAAAGCATGCTGAACATCAGTCATCCATATGCCGTCTCCTCGACTATCGTCTCCCAGGAGTCTGTGGATTCAGTCTCCCAAGAGTCGTCTTCGAAGTCTTCGTCGTCGTCGTAATATGCCAACTGAGGAAAAGGCGAAATTGATTTGAAGTTAATTATTAACTATATACATGAATTAAAGTAGTCAAAGTTGTATAACTCAATAAATCAGTCACGAACCTTGTATGGCAATAAGTATACCATCATCAGATAAAATCGCATAATTCTAATGCTGAAAGCCGGTTCTCAGTAAGACATGGGGCGAACACATTTCTGTGTCCGTTAAACCGATTCTTTACATCCATTTACAGTGTTCGATCAAAACAATTTATTGATTCCCCAGGACTTTAGTCAACCTCTTAATAATGTTCAACGCAATTCTTGTAAACGCGTTCATAGTTCATACCGAGGCGGTAAGAATATATTTAAAAACTAAAAACGTTGTATTTTACTTTTGTTTAGAAAAAATATAACTGAATTAGAAATGTATATAAGTAATTTTTCGCCCTAACTATATTTAAACTATGCGTTTGCGCAGGTGCAAATTCTCAGATGTTTCTAGAAATAACATCCCACTTGCCGTATATAGAAAAGTCACATTCTAACTATAATAAATATTAAAAGTTGTGCTGCAGTGAATTTTTAACTAACATAAGTACCTCGTTCTCATGAAGCCTATGCACAGTCTGAACTCGAATTTGGAACATCCAGGCTTGACCTAGCAGCGCTAGAGTACCGCTGAGTAGGAGAGGCATACTGAACCTGCACTTCCAAGCTAGATTCATGAGAAAAAGGAACACACTTTTCCGCCCTGCCGTCATCTTAAACCTGAAAAGAAAACCAGAAAATATATAAGAAGTGAAAGTTAAATAAATCACTTTAACAGTTTAAAGCGCGATACATATTAGTTAAACTTATTCGAAAATTATTTTAACTACGGCCCGACGTTTCCGATGCTTTGCAGCCGTGGTCACGGGGAGACTTGGAAACAGAAGTAAATTTGCTATCTAAACATAGCGAAACTACGACAATTAGGTGAATAATCTGTACTAATATAAAAATCTGAAGAGTTTGTTTGAACGCGCTAATCTCAGGACTATAGATTCGATTTTTCATCTCTTCGTTTTTACGATGCGTACGCTGCGAAAACGGTTCAAGATACCCAAAAAAATATGTAGGAATGATTCCTCTCTGAATGGATGATAATTATTATCACTTTCCCATCTGCAAAGCACAAAAATTGCGCATTTTGAACAGTTAAAAGTGTTTTATTTTAATGTGCACTATAGAAAAAGACCTTATAATTATTATAGGACAGACAAGACTTATTATATTGGCAAGCTATTTAGCGTTCAGATTTCTCAGTCCCGTCGAACCGAAATATGTATTGTAAAACCGAAATAAAAAAATTCGTCGGTCTTTTAAAGCCGGTTAAGTTACGTAGTTAAGCAAGGCGGGTTATTAACCGATGGAAACATAAACGATAATGTCGTAATATCGTCTAGCTATGTTACGATAGTTATTTCCTTAATGTATCAACCTCTTGAGCATGATTTTAGTGCGGGTTAAGAGACATATTTAGGTCCTAGGTTTGATTTTCGGGAAAACATTACATAATATGTTCTGCTCAGGCACAGGTGAAGGATACTTGACTGTGAAAAAAAATACCTATTGCCTCACATACACTGGTCTCCATAAAAAAAAACCTATATTTGGTATGAATAGGATTAAACCGAGATGATACTTCTGTGTCCCTTGGGAGGCAGAATATTCTAGAACTTCACACTAACTCTTACACAATCTTGTGTAATACAATGCAAATATGACCTATTAGGACATTTGATATCAATGATTCGGTACTTAATAACATACCTTACATTTTTGTTTTCAGTAGACTGTCGTTTGCCATTCATACATGTAAATGGAAAATTATCGACAACTCATAGATTATATTCTCAAAAAAAAACTTAATATTGTTTCCGTCGCAAAAAAATGGCAAGTTAATATAACTTAAATCTTTGTAGACACAAATTTAAATAAGTTAGAAAATATAAAACGATCAGAAAAACAGATACAAATAAATATCTGTCTCACGGTCCGGCCTACCAGGGTAACAGACTTAACGATCGTGCAACACCACTAATCAGTTTAAAGGTTAAAAATAATGAATGTAACTCATATTAACTAGCAAAAACAAAATGGGTTAAGAAAAAAACGTTAGACATTCAAGCGTTTATTAATATGAATTGCATTCATACAACATACATATACATATACCAATAAGTTAATTTTAAATGCAATTAGAGTAGCATGAATGAAAAATTAAGTATAATTATTATCAATCACACAGGGTCATCTATTTGCTTTATGCTAGATTACGCAAATTAATAACGTTTATCTTTCTGATACTTTACTATATTCATTATATTAACATACAATAATGTATTATTGTTTAAAATAATTATTATTACCTACTGTTCCGTTTAAATGGTCCTCCCATTTCAATAGAACAGGAATGTGCTAGTAACTTTTAGCATTGAGAGCTTGTAAAACAATGTTGTTTCATAAAAAAAAAATTAACTTGACGTGTGAGTAGCGATTTATAAATTCAAAACAAAATAAACAATGCAAATGACCCTGTGTATCCATTAAAGAAATAACATTAACATAAATACATATTTTAAAAGGAATGTATCTATTTTATATGGAAAATATCCAATTGCATTTATTGCACAACATACATACACAAATAACATTGATGTAAATCTATTTATTCATCATCAAAGAAGTCGATGTGATCGCCCGATTTCAAGTTGCCAGATACCAGAACCTTAATGCATTTTCTTACAGTTGTTTCAGCTTTAAGGAGAGTACCCTGGTTTTTAAAAGAAGTAAACACCTCTTTTAGGTTTGCATTCACCGTTTTGTCTATTACTAGATCAATCATAGTTGTCTCGACTGGTCCTGGGGAGTAATTGAGTATTACAATATTTTTTTTCTCCTCTGCCAGGACACGGAAGTACATCTCCCTTGCAGCCTTTCCGCTGCAATAGTAGGCCATTCCACTCATTGGCTTAATTGCACACAAAGATGTTATGTTGACTATTATAATGCGGTCTTCAACATCTCCAAAGATTTTAAGGAATTGAGTATTCAGAGAGATAACTTTAAAAACATTCAGATCATAATATTCCCTCAACTCTTGCACTTCTTCAATACGTGAGGTTTCAATGGATAGGTTGCCAAGAGACCCAACATTGTGGAAAATAAGACTAGCAGTGAAATCAGTAACTTTATATCCAGTTAATGCATTTATAATCGTGTCAAACATCTCTTTCTCAGACGCTACCGATAGGTCCACAGAGTTGTGAATTACTTTGACATTTTCTGACTCACACAATTTGGCAGTCTGTGCTAGTTCCTCCTTCTTGCGAGCCAAGAGCAACATAACAGAATTAGGACCAAATAATTTGGATACTTCAATAGCTATTACTCTGCCAATGCCCTGGGAAGCTCCTGTCACTACACAGAAGGTGGGTCCTGTGAGGTCAATGTTAGATGATGAAGCCATGACTACTTACTGTAAATTTATTCTTGGATGAGTTTCTCTGATTCAGTATCTCCAATGACTGGTTCAAGATCACAACCCTCACGAAGGAGACGATCTATGCAGTCAGCTCTATATGCTGACAAATTCTCAACAACCTTGTTTTTCTTTTTCAGTGCTTTTAATTTTCTCTCTGTAAAATTATATGTTATTAATAATTTATATAAGAATTTAAAGTATATCTAGTAACCTTTTGATAACGAATTTGCCCTTTTTATATTTTTAAACTGATACAAAACCTCAGATAGTGAAGTAACGAGTAAAATAATGACAACAAATAGGTGATTGTAGTTAACGCACCGAGAACAGCTAAGTAGTCGGCAGAATCCGATAATTTTTCAAACCCTTGCTCTGGCTTGAAGTTATCTTCAAACTCTGATGTCACTTCTATTTTATTGATTTCGCAGCCCCAAGGATCCATGAAAATCTAAAACACAGCGGAGAATCAGTATTTTGTTTTTTTACGATCGAGCACGCATTTTTTGTATCTACGTTTTTAGGAACTGAAAGGGAGGTGGCTCGCAGCCCACTCACATGAAGGCTTACAGCCAAATGAATGTCGCGATTAGTTATTATTTTGTTTTATTGTGGCCGTCCGCACGCCTGTAGCAGGTTTACGTTCGACATAGCAATAACAAAAACTTGTTACTTGATTTGCAAAAAAGGCTTTGCTTTAGCAAAAATGCAAAACACGAATGTGAAATGGTTAAGACAATTGACACCTGTATTTGTTGTCAATTTAGGCATCAGATTCTGAATCTGTTGTCATAATATTTTCTTTTTTTATTTTGTGTGTATAATAATTAATTTACGATTTATATAATAGTTTATTACAGAAACAAACAAGAAAAACAAAATATATAAACTGAATTATAACATCACTATCTACGATCAGTAAAGTAATAGAATTTACTATTGAAGGTATTGATTTGAGCGCCATCTTGTTTGATTTACAAAGACTATATTTATTTATAACATAACATTGAAGTCAATCAACTACAACGTTTACTTAATTATTGCTAGATAGCATTAGTAGAAATGACATGGTAAACCTTTTAAATTTATCCTTACTAATATTATAAATGGTAAAAGTAAAAAAAGTAACTCTGTCTGTCTTTCTGTTATTAATAAACAGCCTAAATAATTAAAAATTTCTTTTCCAAGTCACTACTCCTAACTCCTAACTAAGAAATATATAAAATACTAGCTGTGCCCGCGACTTAGTTCGCGTGCACAGCTAGTATTTTTATATAGAATGTATTAGCAATAAAACGTACGTGCTACTTACAGTTTATTTTTTATTGATAAATAAATCCGATTCCAAAATACTCTGTTGACGCTGGGAATAAATAATTGTACTTATAAATAACATTACTATAAAAGGTCTGTACCTACCTATATTTATAAAAATATGGCGCAAGCAGGAATCCACCCAGCACAGACTGCGTTCCTGACCCTTTACTAGATATTTAGGTCAGAAAATACTAGGCAGTCCTGGTATGTCAAGCTCTGGCTCTGCTACAAAAGCATATAGGTAGGCAACTAATAATTGAGTAGCTAGTAGCTACTAGAAGTTTAACAAGAGTATTCATAAGATAAGAGTATTCTTAATATTCTCAAATGTAATGAGACTAGGCGTAGTTAAAACCCTTCAAATAAGTGTTCTATTAGCACGTATTTTTCATCGAATCCGCCTCCACTAGCTAAAAGTAACGGCTTTTCATTAACCTACCAAATTAGCGGTGATCATAAACTCTCAATTAACTAGGTACTTTCCACGTTTTAATCATTTTCATACAAAACACTATGACGCAAAACATCAACAACTCGGTGCCGTACAAAATAGATCCACTCTGCAGGCGGTCGCGATTACAAAATGCTTTGTTTAATCGCACATGCTAAATTCGACCTTATCACAGTGCATTAAGCGTCGGTACTTACACTCCAATGAACTGGTGATTCTAATGACATTCACAACAAAATTGCACACAGAGAAATATCGACCTTAACTTGATTTTAATAGGGTGGGCATTTGCGTAAATATTACCAACGATACAAACAGTTTTCATGGAGCTGTGAGCGGTCGCTCTAGACGCAGCTGCCTCCTACCCCTCGTCCCGCACCGGCGCCTCTCCCCGCTCTTCACTTCTCATACCCCGCGCGTGTCGCGCATTCAAAGGTAAATAAAGTAGATACAATGTCTAACTCTTACTGTTCTAAGGTAGAACGTAATTATCTCTTAGAGCAATAACCGGATTTGATAGATTGTAATTATTCTAATTATTACTACAGATAGAGAATATTACTATTTAATTAACATATGACTTATCTACTATCGAGTGTTTTCTCTGCAGATCATCCGACGTTTCGGCTAAAAATATGCAAAGCGCAATTCAAATGTTTGATTTTAAATATTGTTTATTTAAAGAAGCATGCCTTTTCTATTGTCGGTTCGTTTTAATGTGAATCAAAGTTAATACTAGATATAACATCTACGTGTACGATTCTATGGCCGATACGTAGCGCCGACTCGCAACGCCATTCTGGATATTTTGACGGGAAGGTCGGTCACGTGACGCGTCGCGGCGGTGCGGGGCGCAGGGTGTGGGGCGCCGGCTAGACTCTCCAGTAGCCGCGCCGACCGTCTGCTTCTCGACTGCGAGTTGCGGCCGCTCGGAATCCACGCCCTACGCACACCGCGACGCATCTGACCGATCATCACCGTTCATCTCGCAACTTTCGAAACCGTAACGGCCGCGCGGAGAAACGTCGGCCCGGTGATGAGTCCGTCTCTCATTTTCGCACGGATCTCTCGGCGGAGCGAGGGGCCGCGTGGGGGGCGGGCGGGCGCGGCGCGATCCGTCGCAGACATGCTCCGGCCGCTGTTGAGGCGAACCGCGCGCGCGCGACCCTCGCGCTAGTCGGGCGTAGCTCGCGACCATGGACGTCGTGACGCCACACATCAGCTCGGTGCTGAGGACGTACCAGGCGAGCGCACCGCGAAGCCTGCAGGGTCCCGGCGTCGGGAGAACGGGCCTTCCGCCTGCCCCGCCGCCGCCTCTGCCGCGGGCTGCGCCACCTATCCTTCTCACCGCCGACCCGGTACTCGGCGAACGCGGCGAGACCGCTCTAGAAGGCGAACCGATCTCGTGCTTCAGCGTCGGCGGGGAGCGGAGGCTCTGTCTGCCTCAGATCCTCACCTCGGTGTTGACAGACTTCAGTTTGGAGCAGATAAATCGCGTGTGTGATGACTTACAAATCTACTGTTCACGGTGCACTCCTGAGCAGCTGCATGAATTGAAGTCGACGGGCGTGCTGCCGCGGAGCGCGCCGTCGTGCGGCCTGATTACGCAGACGGACGCAGAGCGGCTCTGCGCGGCTTTGCTGCACGCGCCCGCTGCAGCGGCGAAAAAGCTACCGGGCTTCAGGGTGTACCATGAGTGTTTTGGGGGTGCGCGTGGGGTGTGCGCGCCTGAACTGGGACTAGTGCAGTGCGTGGAATGCCGTGGGGTGTATGTCCCACGTCGGTTCGTGTGCCACACGCACGCCACAGAACACCGCACGTGCCATTGGGGTTTCGATTCCGCGAGGTGGCGTCGGTTCCTCCTGGTGTCTGATGAGGAACTGGATAAGGAGAAGTGCGAGGCGCTTTTGGACGACGTGGCGACTAGAGAGCCTAGGGAGGTTCATGTACCCACGCACACGCTGGTGAAACAGTTGCCAATTAAGAGAAAACAGGTAATTATTGCATTTATTGTTTAGAGCGATGAAGCGCGCAGTTAAACAGTCCTTACGCATTACAAATGTCTCTCCCACTCGCCCTTTGTTCTAATTGGAATCTTATTAGAATTTATTGTGCTATGTTTGTGTAAAGCGAAAGATTAGCTATCTCTCTTATAATAAAACGAGTGGCGATTGACGTCACAGAAGTCTGTCTCCGATAAAACGAGGACACGACAATTTCGCGAATAAAATATATATTGATAAGTGTGTACTTGCGAGTATACGGCGATAAGAAATTTGTAAGAACAAAGTAGGTACGAAACTATATGAAGCGTAGCCTTTGAAAATACACAAGAGTGGACGTAACTGGGGTAATGCGCAATGTTAGTGATAACTAGCGTAATCGTTTACTTCGCGCATCAAGGGGGCAAAATAAAAGACTCAAATAACCGAAACGAAACAAAAATTAACTGTCAAATTAAGTTATAAAATTGATTTAAAAACCTCTATGATAAATAATAGTAAGTAACAAAACGTTCCACAGTTTATAAACTGGATAGTTTACAATCTTGCAATATATACGAGCAGTGGCGAAACTATAAGGTGGCAAGTCGGCAGAATGCCACGGGCCCCCAGCCCGAAGGGGCCCCCGGTCAGAAGAAATCTCAATTGTTGGTTCAGCTTCTTTATATATTGGGGAAGTGGGAGGGCCCATTCGATGAATTTGCCACGGGCCTCGAACGGTATAGTTACGCCACTGTATACGAGAAATCCGATACCTAACCCACTTGTAGCTTTCAGTTGATTTGAAAATGACCAAGAGCTGTGTAAACGTCTAAATCCGTTATAGACTTGCAGATTACTATTGTTATTCTAATCAGGACCAGATATAGACTAACCAGTCATTCTAGATAGAAAACGGATTGTGTTTTAATTGTTTGAATATACAATAGGTATCAAATGTTTATATATATTTTAAAAATATACTTAGGTATCTAGTTTGATAAATTATTAAACATTTCTTTGGTAGTTAGAGGCACATGAGAATCCCCAATTTGTTAACTTTGCAACGTTTTTGGCCTAATTAGTAATGGCAGTTGTTTTACCATCTCAATATAATCTCCTATTCAGGCGGTAAAACAATGTTGTGGACACGCATGCATTTAAAGTAATATACCTACCTATGTATGTACCCCATGGGCGTAATTACAAGGTAACATCTCTACTTCGGTGATATCGTAAACGAAATAAAGAACTGTATTATTATTTTTTATAATTGATATTTAACAATAGCGAAAGACTATTTAAATCTTCAAAGCAACTCTAGCAACACTACTAAACGGATTAACACGAAACTAAGCTAGGTTAAACTACGCTACCCCAATTTGGTATGGCTTGTTAATAATGCTTCCCTAGAAGCGATAAGCTAGAAGTCCCAGGTTCGAACAAGCTATAGACATTTCTTACGCTGCACGGAGTAATAAAATTCGATGCGACTTGGATAATGAGGTTTTAACGTTTTATTGCACGTATACGATGTGCAGATTTCGAAACTAATATAATTGCACACGAAAGTGCGTAGTTTAATCGTTTATATGGCTTTTAACGGACCGTACGTTTCACAATACTAATATTTGATATAAACTCAGTGGTTCATGAGTTGTATTACTGTGTCCTGGGTTTGAACACAAGCGGGGTTTCACTCACTATAGATTTAAGACATACGACTTTAACTTAATAAAATGAAATTATACAAAGTAGAAATATTACTAGCCATTTAAAAATCTGTGGCTCTCAGATAATTGATTGTTTATCGGACCATCGGAAATCCCTGTCCGTGATAAGCTCAAACAAATAAACTTTGTAGCCTCATAAAATTTATATTACAATAATTATTTAAAATTCTTGAAGGCTAAGACAGATGAAACACGTGTAGGTACATTTGGAAAAAACAACGAGGAATAGATTAGATAAACGGCTCGCAAAACGAGTGAATTAATATTGTGTTATCATTTGTTTTTGCGAAATTCTTATCCTGATAACGTATCTGACATGCCCAAGGACTTGTATACGTTATTCGTTACTCTGTTAGATAATTCTAATAAAGATAAATGTGCTCGCGATTAAGAATACGTTTCCGTTCGTAAATTTAAAAATGTGGAAATTTTAAATATCTATTTTCTTTAAATTATACATTTTATGACACTTTAAATGTATCACAAGGTAAACATTTGACACTAGCTACACAATTACAATTATACATGATTTCTTCCCATATAATTTGACCTTAATTGACAGTTACAAACTGTTTACTTTCCAAATTATTCGTAGAATAGAATAGATGAAAAAGCCGTAAAGTTTAATCGCGTTTCGGCGTCAGACTGTGGATTTCCGAATATACAAAGCCAAAATAGCGCATCTTGTTTAGATGGTATATGGCTGGGGTATTCCACCTGCCATCAAGTGACCCCTATACTTGTGTGTCCTCCTCTATAATAAAAAAAGCGCCAGAAGAACGTCCATAGAATTCGAGAGGAACATAATAAATAATTTCAGTCAAGCAGGTACTTTAATTTGACCTGACCTGAAGACAGCAATTAAATTTATCTCTAAACAAAGTCGGTCACTCAAGAGACAAGGTAAAACAGTATTTCGCATAATGTATTTGAATATTACGAAGCTTAGCTGTACGCGACCTTTGCGTTAGTCGTTTAACAACAATTAGGAATTAAAATAAGTGGCAAATACTAGAATAGAATCTATTTAATATGCTGACGGCGTGCGGGGAATGCAAATTGCATGTGAACCGACTACATTTGGTGTGAATATCCGACCATATTGAATTTGCAATACGCCACCTGCGCTTGCGCTGTTTTGTGTCCTATTTATTTCGTTCGGGTACTCCCTCTATTTGAATAATGACATTTAGACTGCTTATAATGTAGGTTAACAGAAAAAGCATTGAGATGTAATGGTTATAAACGTATATTTTAAGCCCATGTTACAGCAACGATAATCAAGTCAAGAAGAGGACCATAAACTTAAAAAATATATATATATAAAAGAATTTCCCGTTTCTCCCCTGGGTAATACATTTTTTTGTCCGTTTCGCTGATTTGTTTTATTTACAGATCAGTAATTTATCAGTTCCAGCTCTGCCCGACCAAACGGCCGACGATCTATTGAACCTATATGAGGATAGAAATTGAAAATTAAATTTTTAATTTCTTTTTAGGTATACTTGCATGGGTTAAAATTAGAGCGTGAACTGGACATCCTTGTTGCCAGGCGGGCAAAACCGATATTGTACTAATTTGTTTAATAATAATAAATATAGTTGCAATTAATTCTGTTTGTTTTATGGTACTCCACTCCATATCGAGTAGTTATTGTTCTGTATTCTAATGTATGAATAAAGTTTTAGTAGTTAACCCTGGTCCCAACTCGCGCGGGTATGTCAGTCACACAACCTCGCTGAGAGAATCGTGCTGTCGTGTCTGTTTAATTTTATTTATGCGCGCACACTTTGCATGCTATGAACGCCGGGTACTCGAACTATTAATGGCAGACTTCAGGGCGGCTACATTTTTATTACCGGCGAGGTAATTCGCTTGTGAGATATACCTGGTGGTATCTCTGCAACATTGACTTACAGAGGTGGAAAAATATTTTTTATTTTAATATAGGTAGTAGTTGGAAGAAAATCTTGAAATAAAACGCTTTAAAACACGAAATATATTAGTTAAATTATTTACAACTACTAAGAGACGCGACGTTTCACATTTTGGCCACACGTAGGACTAAAGATGGTGAAAGTCCTTAATGTCAATAAAAACCAAATCTGCCATATTTTATTGTTACGAAATACTATAATATTTAAAACGAAGATTAATTAAGAAGCTATAAGTCTATATGAACATAATTTAATGTACCAAAAAGTTCTTAAATCAACGACGCAGAAATTGTGAGCCTTTTTTGGTAAAGCCACAAAAGTAATGTATTTTAGTAATTTTTCTTATAGGTAGTTTATTACTTTTATGTACGTGTTATGTCATGTCGTGTTTGTTTTCTTTTAAAGATATAATGAGAAATGTCTAACGTAATTTAAGAAGAGTTTGCACGATATCCCATCTAAAAGTCGTGACATACTTCTAGCTATTTCGGTAATCTGAAGAGCGGGCAACTCTTTTGAACATCAGATTTATAATCCGAGAGCTTCTGAAAAGTGCTTTCTTTGCAACATAGTACTTGCCAGCTTGAAGAATGTGAAAAGGCGAGCTGTTTCATATCTTTGCTAATCATTTAAAAACGTGAACACATTCTTAATTAATTTCAGGCAAACATTTTGTGATATTTCTCATTGTGGTATCTATATCCAATCCAAACTATTGAAGTGAAAAAAAACCGGACTCTAAGTACACCCTTGCATCTATAAGTCCCAATTATATGTATGTCTCTATATTCAAAGAAATATACGACATACTATGATAATGCAACATACTTAGTTGAATGAGGTATTGTCCGTAGTATAGCAATAGTATATACGACATTCCATTTTATAAAATTGTTTGAAACGCGTAGTATATTGACGACGTTGTCCAACGGTGGCTGAAGGTTTTTATCTTATAAAAATAACCAGAGCAATTCCCAAAAGCGGGAACTGCAATAAACCCAGCGGCCAACGACGACTTAAATAATATATACAATTAAGCTACCGAGTTAATTAATTCTATGATTCTTACGCTCAGTTCTTTTATGACGCTTCATAAAAATACTTGTTACCTCTATAATCTCGAGACCACCATCATTACCAGATAATTTTGACATTTAATCCCATAAATTATGCGCGTTACTTTTGTTCAACACTTCTACGGCTCATAAATTTATGCAAAATGATATAAAGTTGGTTCCACCGAAAAACTCTGTTAATAAATTAAATATAATGACTACATTAGCAAAAATCACATTTTTTGTATGATAATTATGGAGATTCATGTAGCATGTAATTTCGTTTGATAAAATAACGGGAGTGAGCGCTTATGCTTATAATGATGGGGAGGATATTCGTAACTTTTTACGCTCACAATATATTCAACAAATTGAAAAAACTTAGAGTGAGTGAGCCGTACCTGATCTCATAATTAGGTTATTCTGTAAGTACCAGAGAACCAATTTCACATATTATAACCCTTTTCTAAGTAGATTTATACTGAATGTTATCTAAATCGCTATAGAAATATATTTGTTAAGTTATGCTAACCGTGGTCACGGCTGTTGCCATGCATCGGCAAGCAAGCATCGGGTCGTAGTTAAAATAAATTAAAGATAAGCTCAATTATATAGTTCGCATTTTAAACCGTCAAATGAGTACTATTCGCGTAAACTACAGACTTTAAAATTGTAGCATAGAGTGAAACACTCACTTATTTAATTTGCATTAGCAAATGCAATTTAGTAATCTCAAATATTGAAATGTTGAACTAATTAAGTTTGTATTGACGAGTACCTGTATATGCTGAAATAATTCTTATGATTTAAAAATCGAAAATAAATTGAAAAAATTTTCGACTCGGGCGGGACTTGAACCGGCATCGTCAGCTTTCCGTGCTGTTGCTCTACCAATTGAGCTACCGAGTCCTACACCTCATCGTCGAATTTTTTCAACTTATTGATACATGCACCTCTCGCGCAATGTAATTTCTACCTTAACACTTGCGTATTAAGGCTCAATGTCTTATGCTTTGCAGCTTAAGAAATCATTGAAGATGAAATTACAAAGTTATAACGTTTGAAAACATTAATATTTTTCACATGTTATTGCACATGAAGGCACTATATAATTAAAAAAAAAAAAAAATTTAATTTAATACGCAAGTGTTAAGGTAGAAATTACATTGCGCGAGGGGTGCATGTATCAATAAGTTGAAAAAATTCGACGATGAGGTGTAGGACTCGGTAGCTCAATTGGTAGAGCAACAGCACGGAAAGCTGACGATGCCGGTTCAAGTCCTGCCCGAGTCGAAAATTTTTTCAATTTATTTTCGATTTTTAAATTATATAGTGCCTTCATGTGCAATAACATGTGAAAAATATTAATGTTTTCAAACGTTATAACTTTGTAATTTCATCTTCAATGATTTCTTAAGCTGCAAAGCATAAGACATTGAGCCTTAATACGCAAGTGTTAAGGTAGAAATTACATTGCGCGAGAGGTGCATGTATCAATAAGTTGAAAAAATTCGACGATGAGGTGTAGGACTCGGTAGCTCAATTGGTAGAGCAACAGCACGGAAAGCTGCGATGCCGGTTCAAGTCCGCCGAGTCGAAAATTTTTTCAATTTATTTTCGATTTTTAAATTAAACATGTGCAATACATTGAAAAATAGTCAATAATTCTTATGATAAAAAGGGCTTCGACGACCAAATCATTAATTTTAAACGCTTTTTCTAGTAAAACAAGAAAATACATTTTGTACCATAGGTAGATGTCATGCAGTTATCATTTTTTCGGATACCAATTCCTGTGCACGTGAATTTTAAACGTATTCAGTACACCTTATTATAAAGTAATAACAAATAAAAATGCAATCACCTATACCTACTGTTTTTTATTCTGCGTTGTTTTTCTTTTTTGTAATGGAGTTGCTTTAAAACGAATATAATTTTTAAATAATTTAATGTAAAACCGTGGGGCGTCTCTTACAATGAATGTACCAATGTTTATGATGGAAAATGAAATAAACCTTTTTATTCTTAAAAATAAATTTACACGTGTTTTTTAGGTTCAACGCACGCAACAAGTCTAGATTAAAATAAATATATGACTGTTACATATGCATTGCGTTTTACAATTATTCCTATCGCTTTTTCATGTAAATTACATACAGATATATGGATAATATTCTAGATATTATCTAGTATCTATTATTGAAATCGGGTCACGTTTAAACGTATGTTTTAATATTATAAGACGAAGTTACATCTTTCTCTTATAAACAATTATATCGATTTGTTTGAGACATGTATATGTATATGGCAAATTAAGTGGTGTTTAGTTCATAGATTTTCTTTGATATTAGAATTTTTCGTCAAGCACTCATTGAATTTTCATAAATGTAAAAAATTCATTACAGCTTGCAAATTTTAGATTAAGAAGTTTCAGCGCTTGAAGTTCTTTATGCAATATTTTTTTAAATATTTTTTAAAAGTACCAACAGCTTATTAGGCAACAATCGCTTTTTTGACGAGATATTCTAATTCCTATTTTCGTGTAATGATTTAGTAAATCTCAATCAACATTACAGACAGTCCCTGTGCCCTGTTTCACTAGAGCGATAAAACGGACGCAGAAATATGTCTGTCCCTTTTCGAAAAGTTATCCGTAAATGTAAAATATAAAACAGTCCCCCGTTATGCGCATTGGAAATTAAAAGCCGAAACATATTTTCGGAGAGGAAAAATCGTTGCTCAAATGACAGTGTATTTAGGTCAACTAGGTCGTGACACGGATTTTACATGTTTTTGCGACGCGTGTACGTTGTGATTTTTTTACTTAATCTCTTTTGAAGACGTCCTTTTATGGCCATATCATGGGTCATCCTAATTGGGTTGCTAATTGAAAATATATTTTATCCTTTAATTGAATGCAAGACCCATTTCTAAAAGGAATTTCTGAGGGCAGGAAATTCCTATAATCATTTCAAATTACTGTATGTTTCTTCTTTGATAAGTGTTCGTAAATAGATAGACAGGATAACTGAAGTATTTGAAATAATATTGATAACCAACGATGCACGTGGTTTATGGGGACTGGTATTCTCATGTAAATGTCGTTTCTCGTTGAATTTTGGTTTAATATCGCACGAGTATCAAGATCGCCACTCAAGGTATGTGTAGAGTTATCAACAATCTAATTATAACGTTTGGCGAGGTGACAAACACACGCCTTCACACACGCGAAAATAAACTTAACGGACTTTTTATATTTGTACCGGCTAATGCGGCAGTGTTTTGTTACATTTTATCACGTGAAAATTGCAAAATAGCTAAGCAAATTGCTTACATGACAATGTGTTTCGAGTGGCGGAAATATTTCAGCAGCTGGTGTGTTGTTTGCGGTTAGATAGGAGATATGTCGTGGAATTTAAAAATAATTTGCTAGAGCTAATATTGATATGGGCTTGTTAGAGTTTTGTACTCAAAGTACGAAAAATAGTGTTTTTAAACTTAGATATATGTATATAGCTATTGAGGGACTGAACACGAAACGTCGTTCTTGCAAGTTAATCTTAAACGATAGACATATATATTGTC